CCGAAATACCAGTTTCCATCGCCATGCTACCTGTAGAACTCGCCTCGCTTCACGCTGACTCCATATTCTGAAACAGCCATTCCAAGGTCCTCCATGGTCAACACTGTCCGTCCCTGGCCAGAGCCTCCAGAGCCACCACCTCCAAATCCAGGCCGTTGGATACCAAGATGAGTGCTGGCTTTGTTACCCTTGCTGCCATCACCCCCCGGAGCTGGGGCACCGCCTGCGCCAGTCGGAGCGCCGAGACCAGCTGCAGCTGCTAGACTGCCGATGGGGTTGTTTGCAGAGGAGCTGTTTGAGGCGCGGATACGGGCAAATTGGTACGAGTCCGCTGCAATGTCCGAGACAAACTTTTGTGCGGCAAGCGCCAGGAGTCGCGCTAGGTGAGGTGGGGTTTGGCCGGGCCCTGTGCCTGGGGGTGGAAGACCGGCGAGGGTGAGGTAGTGGGCGGTGACTGCGTCGGGAATCTGAAGATCGAGTGTCAGTTTTGTTTTCCTTGGCTGTCTAAGTGGTCATGTGCTTGGTGTCGTGGGGCTTGCTGCCACATGTGCTTGCGCAAAATCTTAGGGTTGATCGTTGGTGGCGGGGACGTTCTGGTCCAGTGGACCATGTGACCAGGCGATCAGAGGAAACTCAGAAGAATTACAGTGTGATTTCAGACATGACTCACGATTGGTGCATAGTCGTCCATTTTGCCGAGGAACTCGCGCAAGCTTGTTTCCTTCTTGGAGGGTTCTGGCGCGGGGGCCATGGGATCTTGACCAGGCGCACTGGCGTTCACGTTCGCTTCAGTTTGGGTTTCAATGTTCATATCGACGTCGTTTTCGATGGAAGCATCAAGATCGTATTCGGTTTTGATGTTATCTTCGGATTCGGACGGAGGAGGATGCTCTTGTGATCCGTTCTGAGGTGTGGGTTGGGGAGGTTGCGATGTTTGAGAATCGGTCATGTTGGGCAAATATCGGCGGAAACCCCCTGCAAGTATCCTATAATTGAGACTGGGCTGCAGACTTCCAAATACAAGGCCAATCAATGGCTGCGGCGGTTATACGTTCGTTTATAGGGAGATTCCAAGTCACACGGATAGTGCACGGGCCATCTGGCCAAGTGGACCTTGGGGCTTTTTCGACCTCGACTGCCCTGCTACTTGGGCACATTTCTTGGACTTGAAGTTGAGTCTATCTCTATACAAGAATGTCTTACTTTCATCATCATTCATTTTGAAACTATCACTATGTACTCATACACACTTTGCAATGAAAGCAATTGCCAAATCCGGCCACAATGTCGCAATCCCAATAGTAAAACAAATGTGGTTCCCGAAGGAACAAATATCACGATCCAGCCCTAGACTCCGAAACCAAATTGCAAATCCGAAGTTCTCATGACGAATTTTGCGGGAAAAAAGCTAAATCAACAAGACAAGTGGCTGCATATGACAATTCTCTACTGTCCCAGCTGCATATGAGGATCGATATGGTCAGGAGTTGGCTGAGCGTGCTGCTGAGGGTACTGACTTCCGTGCACCTCCTGGCTCAAAGTCTGCATGAGGTTCTGTTCCGCGGTTTGATCAAAGACGGATTGGCTGTTGGCATCCGGTGGAAGGCTGGGCGAGGCGGACATATCATGGCCCGACACGGGTGCCCCATGAGCTCCAGCAAGCGCCATCATACCCTTGATTCCTTCCACATGAGCCTTGTCTTCTTCACCCTGCTTCTTCTGTCTTTCGCGGGCTTCGCGCTTGGCTGCCTGGGCGGGAGCACGGGTTTTCAATTCACCAGTGACGAACTTCAGGTAGTATGGTACTTCAATTCCACTCTTCAAGAAGAAGAGCTTCAGGTTGCGAGCCTTGTCTTTAAGCTGTACCTGATTGCGATCTTTGAGTGCTTCGCTGATCGTTCCACCAGGTCCAAACATAGCAAGAATCTGACTCCAATGGGGGCCCTTAACGCGGTCCAAGCCGGCCATCAACGCATTCTCTTCTTCGGTGGTCCAAGGTCGACGTTGGCTGGGAAGACCAGATTTGCGGCTGGTTGGAGACGACTTCGCGGATGCAGCCATTCGGGCACGTTCGTAGAGAACCTGAGTGGGCTGTGACTGAGAATAATGGGGTATCCCCGGCATGTACCCATGGTTGGACGACATGCCATTCGCCCTGGCTTGCATAGCTTGCGCTGCATTGGGGTTGTATTGCTGGAAGGTGGCCTGCAACGGGCTTTGTTGGAAAGTCAAGGGGGAAGCCTGCTGTGCTTGATAACCTCCAGGGGGGGTAGGACTATGATGATATTGTTGGTGAGCTGGCTGCGGTTGTTGCGCAGCAGTGTAGCCATGAAGATATTGGTTCTCGGGTTGGCTTGTCTGTTGTTGCTGCTGCTGTTGTGGTGGCGGCTGTTGGTGCTGGGGTTGCTGCGGTAGAGGCGATGGACTAGCCTGAGACTGGGTCTGTTGGGGCTGTTGTTGTTGATGCTGTTGTTGCGACTGCTGCTGAGATCGTCGGAGGCCATGGCCCTGTAGGGCAATCTGCGCAGCTCGGGCAGCACGCGCAACAAGGTCGCCATGCATGTTTCGGTCCACAGGGACTTCCACTTGTTGGTTGAGCGAGAATTGACCCTGATGGGTGGTGTTGGGTAACTCGTGAGCATCGCCATTTGAACTCGAGGGCTGGCGTCCCTTGACGGTTTTCTTTCCCTTTATGACGTTAGCACAAGCACAACGATAGTGAAAACACGAAGACTACAAACAAACCTGTTGGGTATTTATGGCATCGAAGTTCTTCGAAATGTAGGAGCTAAGATCTCGTAGGAAATCTTCCCAGTGGTATTTATCCGGCAGGGCATTCAGTGCCTCCTCATTGTTGATTTCATTGAGAAGAATGTCACGTCGAGAAGTGAGACGGTTCACGAAATCTGTCTCTGAAGGTGCCAGCTGTCGGGTACCAGGGCGTCTCGCCAGCAACCGCTGTTCCATGTCGTCCGGGAACAGATTGTAGAGGAGCTGCGTTCGGGTGAGAGATTTGTGATGCATGGCTGCAATGAAAGCCTGCGTCTTGAGTTCGAGGTACAAAGCACCTTGAACCTTCAGCAAACGACCACCTTCAGGTACAAACACGTCTAGGAAATGATCATTGAGGTCCGCAAATCCGATTTCCTGGGATCCGAAGATGCTCGAGACGAAGGACGCCAGGTTCGCTTTGCGAATGACATCAATTTGAGAAGGGTCTGTGATTTCAAGGTCCGTAGGCTGGAGGAATGAGTGCTTGACGGTATATACTCGTTTTGTGTGATCAAATAAGGAGCGCATGGTGGCATATGCTTGGCCATTTTCGGAGTCAGGTTCTGACACCATGGCCGTCAGGTCTTGGTAGGTGTTCTTCGAAAGGAACGACAATATTTGCGTAGACTAAGAGGTGATTTCGCAGTTGTTAGGAGATTGAAATCACGTAAATAGCATTAATGGAACTCACGAGATTGTCCAGGATGGGGAGACTCTGGATCTTGAGGTGAGAGTTGGCCTTGAGGAAAGCAAAACCTCTGGCTCCCGGAAAATCATTCGACGGTGGTAGTTCTTGAGGTCCCATTGCAACGGTTTGCTCCTGACGCTCTGTGTGATCCATGATCTCGGAAATAATTGTGGCCACGTCAGGGCTGAGATCAGAGGTACCGTCCTGGGTGGTCACGACCCCAGTAGAGATATCATGAGCGTCATGAGTGACATGCTGAAGAGTTTGGTTTATGTTATGATCGCTGGGCTCAACGGTGTCAATAACGCCTTCGCCGAGAGCTGAGGCTAATTCTTCTTCAATTTTGTGACCAGGGCCATGCTGATCGGCCATCAAGATGACATCGTCAGGTAGAGAAATATCGCCGCTGGGGCCATCGCCTGTACGGCGCTTTTTGGCAGCCGGAGGTGAGCCATGTTCCTCATCCTCGAGAGAATGAGGTACTTTTTGGTCTATGATACAATTTAATAGTGAGCATTGATTCCAAGGTTATGTTGAGCTTCGTTGGCGGTGAGAGAGATAAGTATGGGTGGGTGGGGGGTGGTCGAAGCTGGCGAACGGGACGATCGGATAGGCGCTTGAAGAGAACACTTACCAATGTCACCTCCATCAGAGGGGAATGGAGGAAAGTCAGATGTTTCTTGGCCATCGAATGATGGCCGCACGCCTCGAGTCTCGACCATTTGGACGAAGCGCCTGCCTGAGGTCGGGGTATCAACTTCCGAGAGCAGAAATGAGGGCTTAGGGGTAGGGCGCGTTTGTAGGGCTTGCGGAAGAAGGATGGAGGAGCGAAAAGAGGAGTTTTCTGCCGGCGGTGTATTTTCGGAGGTAATGGGTGGAGGCGTGGTCGTTAAAGGAAATGTGCGTGTGGGTGGAAGAGAGGAACGAAGCAGACAGAGAGGAAGGAGGAAGGTTCCGTGCAGGGTGCGTGGTCATCTTTGAGAAAGTGCGTTTTTTTTGCATGCTTTTTTTATTCACCCTCCACATGGCACATCATTTGTATTTTAATGATCAAGTCCGCTTTCGGAAGAAGTATCTGTAGGAAATTGAAGCAGTTTTAGGAGAATCGTACCATAACTGACCCGTCAATTTTTCCATCGGATACATGGAGAACTAGCATCGTTTTGAGAAACCTCATTTGTATCTCTGTGATCTCTGTGATTTCGTGGCGTTACCGCCCAGTTCTCACTGAACATCAGGACCTGGACCGGCGATCTCGGAGGCAACTGAGGCTGAGTCAGATATCGTTCTGTCAACTCTCCGGGGCTAATCTTCTTGGCTTGGAATGGCTTATCTGGATGAAAATACTACGCATGTACGGAGTAGATAACATCCCATTTCCTCTCTTCCTTGCCCAGAGAAACCTATGGTGCCTATGTTGTAGGTCGACGGGTACCTTACCCAGGGCAGGAGTCTATTGTCGTTAAATACTAGCGTATAACTAACATGTGTTTCGGGCGACTGGTTCACTGGTGATGCCTACACGTACGCTACTTGTAACTAAGTACCCTTATGACGAAAATCCGTTTTTTCAAGGGCAATCTTAACATTCTGTGAACGATAACCTCCCATTGCTAGAGTGTCACTGGACATTCACCTAGGCTGGTGCATATAGAAGCCTAGACTGTCCCTTCCGGAGAATTTGTGCGCGTCATTCAATACAATTACCTGGTTATGAATTGCGTGCAACCTTGAACCTACCAATCCTAAGAGTCAAGTTGAGCTGTGATGAAGATCCACACAATAATCCAATCTTGGAAGATTCGGCCATGACACTTTTGAATTCATAAATCAAATGAGATTATCCTGCTGAATAGTCTATATCATTAAATCGTTTTTGATTTGAGTTCTACCGATGTCTACTGGGTACCTCTAGCTTCCAGGGGCTCCTCGATTATCCCTTTTGATCACTTCCTACAATTTCCTTTATGATCTTTCGTAGTTAATTCTAAGCATGCTCAATGTCATCAAGATTCAGTTGGTCTCCACCATCCGAAAAAGCCGAAAGCTTACAGTCCCTTGAGTTTCGAAATTCACGAATTAAAAGCCGGACATGTCCACATCCAGTTATACCAGACCCGAAAGCGGATTTCTTATCGCTTGGTTCCCTGGTATCCTGGCAGCCCTAACACTACCATACCATTTGAGGTCTGGACCCTGTAGGCTCGAGTTTCTTTACTACAAAGAGGACGCCCCCGTAATTTGTAGAGCAAGTCAATCAATTTTCTCAAGGCTTGCTGTTCTTCGATGCTTGGATAACCATGTCGACGCACGGCCTATTCATCACTCTCCTGGCACTTCAGGGCGCAGTGATAGTTTCAGCTCAGGGCTCCCAATCTATCGAGAAAGTATGGGGAGTCTTTGCATTTACTGTCTACGGAGACAGCAAGCCCGGTGCGCTCACAAGCTCTAGAACTTTGACCGACTATGGAGCCAACGAACTCTCTACCGCAGCATCGGACTTTCGTTCTCGTTATGTATCTGGAGGCTCTGATACTTGGGTCCAAAACATATCCCCAATCATTTTGGACTCAAAAGATGTGAACGTGCTCTCGACAACGGATCAGAACATTATTGGCTCCGCCCAAGCATTCATGCAGGGTCTATACCCACCACTCGGCTTAATGAACATACCGAGTGGCCAGATTGCGAACGGATCGTTTGCACAGGCGCCATTGAACGGTTACCAATATCCTCGGATTGTCACTGTCGGCGAGGCGGACCCTCAATCTATTTTAATTGAAGGTCACGCAATGTGCGGCATGTATGATGCCGCCGAGGGCGAATACCGTGCCAGCGACGAAGTCCAGGATATCACACGAGATACAGAAGCTTTTTACAGAAAACTGTGGAGACTAGCATTGTCTGGAGTCTACGATGAATCGTCTGCAACTTACACGAATGCTGTTCCAATCTCACAATATTTGGATTATGAAGTTGTGCATAATGACAGCGTGTTTGAAAGTCTAAACCACGCCGACATTCTTCATGCCCGCTCGCTAGCGGACCAGTACGTATGGAGCACAAACAGCCAACAATCATCTTCCAGCGGGTCCTTGATCAGAGTTGTCAGTCCAATTGCGGGGCAGACATTAGCATCGAGTATTCTCGAAGCCTTCGACCTGAACATCCAAGAAGGTGGAACCCGGCAGAAGATGACCCTGTTGTTCGGTGGCGATGAGCCAGCAGTTGCCCTGTCATCTTTGGTGGGACTCGCAAACCAGCATCAACCAAACTTCTTCTCCCGCCTGGTACGAGGTGGCTCGTTCGTGTTCGAGCTGTACAGCTTCGAAGACAGTAGCGACGTGCATCCATCCTACCCGGGAATCGACAATTTATTTGTTAGATTTTTGCTTCACAATGGGACCGACAACACCACCGACTTCCAGGCGTATTCCCTCTTTGGACACAGTCCCAGTCGTGCCTCAATCCCATATACTGAGTTCCACTCCGAGCTCGAAACATTTACCGTGGCCTCAACTCAGGAATGGTGCCTCCGCTGTAACGCTGAAACTGTTTTCTGCAATGGAGTGTTAGATCAAAGTGAATCTCAGCCAAAGAAGAACAAAGGTATGGCTCCCGGTGTAGCCGGAGTCATTGGCGCTGTTATAACGCTTGCGGTCATTGGAATCACATCAGTCATTGCATTCCTCATATATCGAGCTCGCAAGGGAAGCAGCCCCAAGAAAGGAAGCTTGGGTGGGTTCAAAGGCCCTGGAAAATATGCCAGTGATACTGATGTGTCGTTCAATAACCCAATATGGAGAAACTCCAAGACCAACGACACGCAACCATCTAGTGGTCTCGCCGCTGGAGTAGAAGTTGCTGTACAGGGCCATGAACGTACTGGAAGTTGGGAGATGGGCCAAGGGAAAGGGGAGATTGAGAGTGTCCAGCGCGATGTGTTGGAGGGAAGATCGCCTTTTGAGCATGAAGAGGACTGGGTTGTACACAGTGGTCTAAAACCTGTGAAAATCCGTGAGAGCGTATAGACTGTTTTATATCGTAGGCGTATTTAGGAGCAAAGGTCTTTCGTTATTCAAACATTTCCTTCTCGAGCGTCTTTCAGGTTTAGGGCTTCAATGGTCAACATCGACGCGCACTGAATTGTAACAGGCGCGTCTGGTGTAGACCTCGTGACCCCAGTCTCTGAATAGCCTCGTTCCTTCTCTGTTGATCTTGTACCTTCCACTCAAGTCGATCCAACTATTCTTTTCCTTTGAATTTCTTTGTTTCTTTGCTCTCGACAAGTTATCTTCGATCCCAAAGAGAAAAATGAGGTACAACATACCAACTTTGTTAGCATTATGCCAGGACACAGGTGTACACTGCAAGTGGACCAGTCAAGCAAAACACTGTGAGTTTTCCTTTGAGATGATGTTTTTGATCAATGTTTCCCCGGAGAGATGAAGATTTGATTGGGTTTCTGGTGATTGGGTAGCTGGTGTGAACTGGGTTTCAGTACATCACGCAGAGCTGCCATGGGTCTCAGGGCCATCGACTCTGCATAACCCAACGAAAAAGACCTTGTTGACCATGGCGATAGGCAGAAGAGCGCATCCTGATCGATGCAAGAAGCCAATCCTTTCAGAAAACCCAAGGAATCGACCGAATAAAGAGTCATCCAGGTCATCGCGACCGAACAAAAATTCAACATCGAAAGTCTCCAAGAATCACCCCCGTCGTGCAAGCAAAAAGCCCACTGAGCCTGTGTTCTCCACGAGTGATGCAGGATTTGCTCAATTTCTGAAGAAGCACACTTCCCCAAAACACCAGCGAGTCACGGCTGGGGGGAGAATCGTTCCAATGGAGCCACCAAGGCCACCCCGTCATGATGGTTCAACACCTGTGCAAATGTCTGTTATGGATAACGACGAATCCATTGTTGCACATATTTTTGTTGGGGATAAACTTGTGACCGGCAGCCGCAACGTAGGAACACAAGATATCTCGAGAATCATTCATTCTTCCACAGAGCCTGATAACAACTTGCATGAGAAATTGACGTCGCCTTTGCTGGCAAGCACATCCCATTTCGCAGCTCCAGTCGATCCAGGATTTTCGACTTTTTCTAAAGCAATGGAACCAGACGTTCCATGTGATGAATGGTTTGAGTACCGGCCCCGAGACGAAATTGATGCACAATTTATTCGCCATGCTTCAAACGCGATGCAGCGTCATGAGCTCACCTGTCAGGCTGAAGAACGCCGGGCACGATGGGTTTTGATCGAGGATCAGATTCATTATGAAGATTCTGCAATTGCGCAGATGATGTCGTTCATGTCCCCGTTCGATCTTTTCCTGGGTTACGACTATTATGTTCGATATGTAAAAATAGCGTGGATGTGCGGCCTCGACGCCATGGTTGAGGCAAAGTCACGACTGAATAACAAACTCTGGAACCATGAAAAATATCTGGAGGAGGTCAACGAAGTTATCGCGCTTGACCCGCAGATTTCACCCGGTGGTGTTTGTTATAACTTGCGTGTTTACAACATCAACGAACGGGCAAGAGTGCTCGGCGCTCTTGATCAGCACGATGTGCTTACGGGCTATGCAGAGGCAGCTGGTATGAACAATCCCAACGAAACGGAATATTTTTCCGTCAAACAAGCCCATCGGAAGCCTACCTGCAGTCACATCCAGCCCGGAAGAATGATGGATGGTAGTTCACTTGGTAACCTGTCGGCTGCTGGTACCAATGAGGTTGAGCTTGCCAAAACCAATCGTGGAGTCGAAATTATTGACCCCCAAACTGGTCATCCCATTCAATTCCAGAGGCGACCATTGAATACAACAAACAACAGTCGCAATGTTACAGGCCGCGGAAATGGGAGCAACTCAGACTGCGATTACATACAGGTTGATGGAAGCTCAGAGTTGTTGATTCGTGATGTAGATGGGAATCGCAACAGAAACAGAAGAAATTCATTCTTCAATCATATTCAGGTTGACAGAAGATCAGAGTTTTTTCATGATGCGCATGGCACAGGCGGCAATGTGCCTACGGGAGACAATGACCCGGTCTTTGATGCTGTTAGCCGATTGGACAGTGTCTTTCTTCCTGAAATGGGGGTGGAGGCGGAAATTTCATGGATCCCCCAGGAGACATGGACAGAACGTCGTCCGAGAAACGAAATTCGTGTCAGCAGAACCGTGCCTCGGAACTTTGGCCGAAACGTCTACAATTTCAGATCGGAATTGCATTCTATCACCGAGCTCGACCATGATGGGCACGTCATTGAGCCAACTAGCACGGGTGAGAATGATGGGAGTCATACACCAAGCTTTGCGTTTAGCATGTAAGTTCTTTGCTCCAGGCTAGCGCTTGAAGAGTACTAACTCCTAGAACCGCAGCAATGAAGATGAATTGAACCACAGTGCAACCCAGAATGGGCTTCGGTATCTTCAGAATGAGCCCTGTGTCGCATCACTTTCAAGCAGTTCAGATGACGAACAACAGACGATGAGAAATTCTAGCCCCGGACAAGAACTGACTGAAGAGATGCCTTCAGAACTTTCCTTTGATCAGCAACACGGAAGTACTGAGGTATTAAATTACCAGTCGTCAATCATTACACCGGACCTTTTCGATGTGTTTGTCGTAGATGTGGAGGGTGATCTGGAAGGTGAAAGGAGAGGACGCTCCTTGGTTGAACAATTTGATGATGACATGAACTACAAGTAAGCTTCATACAAACTCACTTGTTTGTGCAAACGACGGGGTTTGACATAAGATAACCGCAGTGGGAGCTTCACCCTTACAATGAACAGCTTCGGAGGGGATTACCCAGACGAAATGTCGGATGCACCCCTATTGTCTCGGAACAGCCCATTGTCCCGGAACAGCCCAAGCAGGGCGATCTCGAGGTCAAGTGTCCGCCGTAGGCACCAAGGACCTGTAGGGGGCCTCAGCAGCGTTGGGTCCCGCATGATCACATCGAGTCTGAATGCCCGTCGAAGGCATGATGCACGTGAAAATGTCCGAAATGCCCGTCACTCGCTCACAAATTCCTCAAGATTGATTGTCAACCTGAGAGACGAGGTACCCGTCACAAGTGTTCTCGGATTCGACGCGCCCGACAGTCGACAGAACACTGATTACTTGCCCGTTTATTCGACGCAGTTGATTGATGCCAGTATCAGACATACTGCGCCCGCTATTGTGAACACCAGCAGAATCAATGCACATGCTCAACTTTGATACTATGCCACCATGGCATTGGGCTAGGGTTGTGAGCCCATGCCTATGTACATGTTTCCGAAGTTCCCGAAGTGTTTCAGATTTCAAATGATGAAAGCAGAAAAGAGAAAAGCATCCAAAAAAGAAAAAAAGAAACCATGCACGAAGTTCGATTCGAGAGAGGAAACGATGTTGACGGGATTGAATCATGAATCTGTACAATGTTATATTGTATTGATATTCTTCTTCCAAGAGGATTGAATTGTATGATTATCACGTGTTGTACACTGTAGACATTTGTAGTTAATTATATGGTATGTCGCCACCTAGTTCCGTTCCTTAATTCCTTAATTCCCTAATTCCTTATTTCCTTGACTCATATCTAGAGTCCTGTTGACTACGGTAAAGTCGTACAGAGATGAAATATTTTTTCCAATTGATCTTTCTGAGTACTTCTATCAACCTTTTCTCAACTCTTCCCAATGCTTCTAACGTAGATGGGCGGTTGCGCAGTGCACCCAGGTGGATTGCCCTGCCCAGAGTTTAGATGACTAAGCCTTGGCCTCCGCGTCCACGGGTCCTTCTCCACTCCAATTCCTCCTTACCTCCCTCTTTTCTCACTGGTTTCACGAATCTTGAACTCCACGAATCTTGAACTTCATTTATTGCTCTGACATGTCGTCTGATCCATGAGTCTGGTTACCGTGGCTTTTGTCGTTTCAGTTCTTTGGGTGGACAACTCTCGTTGTGCTGCTTCTTACTAACGGTTGCCCCCCGCGCGATTATATCCCCAGCCGGCACTTGGCATTTCGACGAATACCGCCCTTTCACCTGCTTCTCACCTTGATTTTGCACTCTTCGGATTATCTTCACGCCAGGTCCCAAGTGAATTTCATCTCGGTCTCGATTTTATTTCGGCAACCCACTCAATATGACACAGCTCTTCGCCTCCAGTCCGTCCGCGGTGACAAATAATGAGAAGCGCGGGAATTTCCCCGCTCTCTCTCTTCCATCGCGAAAACATTCCAACGAGTCTAGCCACTTGCCTACGAGGATTAAGAACTTTTTTCGTATCAACAGCTCAAGCCATTCTCCCCAACTCAACACCTCTGGGAGTACCGAACGCGAACGGGAAAACCATGGGGCGGCCAAAAACGAGAAGTCTGCTTTCCGGCAGTCTCGATTCCTGTCAGGCAAAGGCCGCAATCGATCAACAACTGTTGCCAGTGAAGGCAACCCACTTGACGACGCAGTTTCACCTACCGCATCCGCCAACCCATACTTTGCCCACCAGGGTCAACCAGCATTGCGACACCGCAATGATGGGTCAGTGCCTTCCTCTCCTCCTGACACCCCCCAGTTACAAGTCACGGGGGTCTCGGCAGTAGAACAGGCGACTACTGCAAACAAAGAGGAATTAGCGCGCAAGTTACGACGTGTGGCTTCTGCCCCGAATGCCCAAGGCCTATTCAAAAGTGGCCAGGGTGACCGTCCTCAGACAGCAGAACTGGGCAAGCAGCCCCTGGTGGAACAGTCTGGCGGATCAATGGGCCTCACAGCCAGTGGGAATTCCAATCTAGCGATACCATCTTCACTTAGCTCAGATTTTGGCAGTAACGCTGCTTTCCGCCGCACCTATAGTTCAAACTCCATCAAGGTTCGAAATGTGGAGGTTGGTCCCGCTAGCTTTGACAAGATCAAGCTGATCGGCAAGGGCGATGTTGGCAAAGTTTACCTGGTGCGCGAGAAGAAATCGAGCCGCCTGTATGCGATGAAAGGTGTGTTCTAATTTTAGACCGATGACTGTCCGATGCAAAATACTGACTTGCGGCTAGTTTTGAGCAAGAAGGAGATGATCAAACGGAACAAGATTAAACGAGCTTTGGCCGAACAAGAGATTTTGGCTACGAGCAACCACCCGTTCATTGTCACCCTGTATCACTCCTTCCAATCGGAGGATTTTTTGTATCTCTGCATGGAGTACTGCAGTGGCGGCGAATTCTTCAGGAGTGTGTTTACCTTTCTGTTATTTTTACGACATCATCTAAGATTTCTTGCTGACTTACGCATCTAGCCCTGCAAACTCGCCCCGGCAAGAGCATCTCCGAGGACGCAGCTCGCTTTTATGCCGCAGAGGTTATTGCTGCGCTGGAATATCTCCATCTCATGGGTTTCATCTACCGTGACCTGAAACCAGAAAATATCCTTCTTCACCAGTCAGGTCATATCATGCTTTCTGACTTCGATTTGTCGAAGCAATCTGGACCCGGGGGTGCCCCCACGATGATTCCCGCACGCAGTGGTGGTAACTCCACCACAGGTTTGCCTACAATTGACACCAAGTCATGTATTGCTGATTTCCGGACAAATTCTTTTGTCGGGACTGAAGAATATATTGCACCCGAGGTGATCAAGGGTTGCGGTCATACCAGCGCCGTTGATTGGTGGACCCTTGGCATCCTGATTTACGAAATGTTGTACGGTACTACCCCGTTCAAAGGCAAGAACCGGAACGCTACATTTGCTAGCATTCTGCGCGACGAGGTGAACTTCCCAGAGCACTCCGGTGCGCAGCAGACATCAAGCCTGTGCAAGGCCTTGATCCGCAAACTGCTGATCAAGGATGAAACTAAGCGCCTAGGAGCCCGCGCCGGTGCCTCCGATGTCAAGACTCACCCCTTCTTCCGGCAGACCCAATGGGCGCTCATTCGTCACATGAAGCCGCCTATGATTCCCCACCAGGGACGTGTTGGCACGGATACAGTGAACTTCCGCAACGTCAAGGAGAGCGCTAGCGTGGATATTGGCGGCACCGATTCTACTAAGATGAAGGGTGTTCCAATGGATTCTGGCCTCGCGACTCCGAACGGCGAAGTCAACGATCCCTTCGAGGATTTCAATAGTGTCACTCTGCACCATGAGGGGGATATGTAAAGCCTAGGTTCTTGATTTTTCGTCACTTGTTTCTTTTATCCGATACAGAAGGAAATAGCCGTATGTGCGTCGGCTCGCTGACGACCATGATGCATTAACGACTGTATTTAGATGCTATTCTTCTTCCACTGCAATCCTCGCTGGGTGTATGGAGTGTTCTGGGACTTTTTCTTGGTGGATCTATTTGAGCTTTTTTTTTGTCTTCTTTTTTTCCCTCTTTCGTCCCATTTTTGTGCCTTGTTGCTCGTGGATTGCTTTGCATATTGCATATTTTTCATTTCCTTGAGCCTTGGGCCACTCTGAGTTGCGCCTCCAATTCAGGCACAACATAGCATCGACACCAAAGCGCTGGAATTGTCACATGGTTTGTGTCACGACTTCTGCTGTTGGTTTTTTTTTCTCTGCGTGTCTCCCTGAAAACTGCGCTATAAATTTGCTCTTCCATCCTACTTCGCAGCGGACGGCGTTCAGGATTGACTTTTTCGGGCTGCGTCTTCCACGTGACATTTGTGTAAATCAACTGAATACTGCGTGCTGTTTTCAATCTCAAATTTGTATTTTCATGTTTACCTTGCTGTGAAACCATGTACGACATCTCGAAGCCATTTCAGCATTTGGCTTTTTGTTTCAATCAGTTTGCTGGTCTCCATGTTGAATTGTCTTTTCTTGCGGAGAAACCTTTACCAGTTCCCACCCTGTAAATGGCCATTGCTTCATGGGAAGAAGAGTGTGCAAAGCAGAAATGGGATATTGTGAAGGCTTCTTTGAAGAAAAGGCAAAATCAAACCTAGATTGGTGGTGGATAGAAATCAACTCTCCACTCTCCATGCAACAGAGCACAGTCTAGTCAGAGTTTATAACAATTATCGTGTACGCAGAAAAAAAGCTTCTATTCGATAAAGATGATTCGCTTGAACGAAACAGTATAATATGCCAACCCGACGCGATCCAAATTTGCAAAATAACACAACTGCATGCTGGGTATCTCAAAAGCTCACCTCCTAAAGAGCGAACATCTTCAATGCAGATGATAAGGATCCGCCACGCAAGCCTTCCGACACTCCTCCAAGAGCTTCGCCTGCCTGGAAACGTGCGCAAGGCGACCTATAACCTCCTTATTACCATCATAGAAGGTAAAGACCGCATAGGGAATGTTCACATCCTCACAGAATTCCCGAACAAACTGCTGCGTCTTGCGCAGATTGTGCCGCGGGATGCGAGGATACAAATGGTGGATAGCCTGGAACTGGAGACCACCATGGAAAAAGTCCAACCAAGGCGGGCAATCTACATCCATCGTCGTACGGAGCATCTTCTGAGGGAAAGATTCCAACGGGCCGAGATCAGCAGTGGACATAGCGTAGTGTGAGAGTGTAATCTGCACATGCAGTGGCGATGTCACGATGTGAGAGATCAGAACAAAGACGACGCGGTTGAACCAGGTCGGAATGCTACACCAGACAACGCCGTAGCCGAACCAAATCCAGAAGAAGATGTGGCCGGCGAACTCAAACCAGCGGTGCCACCAGCCCGCGCCGTGTTTTGGCCCGCGTCCAACGACAATATGCTCCCAGCTGAGGAAGTAGAGGTTGAAACGGCCGAAGAGGAGAATGGGGTAGTACAGGTAGTGCTGGTATTTGACGGTGAACTTGGCTACTGCGTCAAACTCCATGACGCGGTCGTAGTAGGTGCTGCGGAGCGAGCTGAAGAAGCGGTGCGAGAGCGCGAAGAAAGGCATCAGTTCGATATCGGGATCGTGCTCGGGTGCGTTGGTTACGATGTGGTGGACGTTGTGGCTGCGCTTCCACCAGCCTAGACTTAGGCCCCCTAGGTAGTCGGCGATGATCATGCCGATGGTCGTGTCAATGTGATAGTTGTGCGTGATACCCATATGGCCAGCATCATGGGCGGAGAAGACGAGCTGGTGCCAGAAACAGCCGAGGAAGAAGGCAGATGTGCAGAACCAGGATTGTTTGAGGAAGAAGATGAATAGCCCAAAGAAGAGGGTGTAGCGAGAGATCTCAATAGCGTAGGCTTTGTAGTTGCAGTTGTATAATCCTGCTGCGCGGATGCGATGGTGCAGCTCGCGGTATTTCTTTGTGATGTATTCTTGGTGTTCTGCGTCGAGAGGAGGGTACTTGGATGCATCTAGCTCAATCTCCTCTTGAGTTCGAGCATCGATCACGTATGCTCGTGGTTTGTTCTCAGTTTCTGTTGGAGAGATGACGCTGACGGCTGAGGAAATTGTGGAGACTGATAGCCTACGTCTTAGGCCCAATCGGTCATCCTTGGCTTCGAAGATAGGAGATGGTGGTGCTGAGCTCTCTTCGCTTGATAGCTCGGAGCACACCAGGTCTTCTTCGTCGATTTCATGTTCGGTCAAAGGGCGGAATTTGCCACCTTGGATGGGAGGGAGGAAGTTGGTCCAGTGGCCCTCGACTCGGCCAATTTGGAATTTGCTCATGCGCTGACGGGCTTCCTGTGAATGGAGACTTTGAGAAGGGTATTAGTATAATGGTCAAATAAAGCCGATCAAGGATAGACAGGTTTGAGGAGACTTACGCATTGACTTCGTCCGTGGCATCTTTGCCAATCATATGCTTGATGGCCATATCACCTCCGGGATGGTATTTGATCCAGGAGTCTAGTCGGAGGACATTGCCATCGACAATGACAATCAACTTGCCTTCGGCGAGCATGCCCTCGATCTCACGTCTTGAGAAGACATTGTCCCTGGCCCTTGCTGGGGTGGACATATTGCTCATCTGATTTGATCAACCAAAGAATCCGATGAGATTTAATCGCTAGTTGTTTGAGTTAAAAGGCTTGACATGAACGAAGGATACAGCGGTAAGACAATTATAAGAAATCTTTTTTCGGGGCATCTCTATTTGCTTTTTGACTTGCATAAAAAGATTAATCTATTCGGTTACCTAGACTTGCAAAGCGCTGTGGCGCAAGACATCCCTCTCGACCCAGGGGAACGACACAAATGGGGCAGTGTAAATTGGTCTGTCCGGCCCAGATGTGGACACGAGAGGAACTCCATGAGGAATCAAGAGGGCAGGTCGAGGTGGGTAATGTGTTCCTGGATAAAGCAGTGTGACAGGGCTGTGGATATGAAGATTAAATGCGATTCCGTACATCTCTTCAACCATACCCATATGTTGAACATTCCATGTCCCATTTGATAAGAGTTAAAACAAGCTTAAACATTGCCCCTATCGGAAATTGAAAGGTCAGATCCTTAGATCCCCTATCCCATGTCGAAAATTCGACTCCACCTTTTCTAAATAATACTTTGACACTAAATAGAATCCACAGAGAACATTCTCCATTCCCCCCCCCCCCCCCTAACGAATTAATCCACAGTGCTTTTCCCCTGAGAAAACTCAAAAGACGTGAAAAATGCAAGAAGTAAATGCTGGCTAACCTTGGCTACTTATTGTATCGTTGGCTTAAGGCGGAAATCCTCTTACCATTTGTGGAAAAGATAACCTGGACACGTGTCCACCCCAAACCCTAGGAAACCATTGGACTTTTTTTTTTAAAAAAAAAAATTCAGGTCAAGGGGCCATGTGCCATGGAATTTGGGAAGGAAACGTCTGTGAAGGGACGAACGAGATCTTCTTTTTAATGCCCTATTACCGCGAAAGCCCCGTATCTGGAGCGACTGGCTAATATCGCTACTTTCTCAGTTAAAGACACTTACGTATTCGGCTTTCAGTTCTTTCTTCTAAAGGTAAGTCGCCACTTGATGTATTGTGCATTTCTCTCCTTTCTGGGTCCTGTTTACATGATCCACAATACGATATACCGGTCAAGGTTATTCCCGAGGGACACGTTCTGAATGTGAAAAACGCAAGGCCAAGGCTCCTTTCCTACACTAGAGTTAATCCGTTGTTAAGGCGGCAAATTTGCAAAAAGCCATATTCGTTCTATTGACATCTTGAATTCATTTACTTGACGCGAAGTACATGTAGAACTGGGCTTCATTTAAAATAAAGTAGAGGCACAGGTGGACTTGGACGCCGCAGTAAAAAGACCTGTGGGGCAAGACATTTTCTAGAATGTGTCGCCTCCGAGTCATGCCTCTAGACCCTTGGGGTTAGGTTTTCCAGGGGATGTATCCCAAAGGCGTCTACCAAGTGTACTATATGTATAACTATTGCACAAGTACGGCGTATGTACTCCGTACTCCGAGGACAGGAGACCACCGCGAGGCGTCTGCGATAAAGTATATCCACTTCTAAAATTTAAAATTGAGACTTCTGGATCTGGAATGAGACATATTATTTCTGAGTTCGCCTGAAATTTCACATGCACACATAATACACATAATAATCCTACCTGTGATTTATGATTTTCGCAATGAACCGTGTGACTTGAAGTGAAGCCAGCCTAAATCAACAGGGTAATGATCGTAGATGTATCGATTAAAAAGATAAGCCAAGGCAAAGATATAAATTACTGAGTTGACCCACCCGAGCACTTCACTAGCCCCGGTCAATTTCGGAAGGCTTGGATCCCAGTCAACAATGAGTCGCTAGTATCAAACTGTGAGCGTACGGAGTAAATGCTTCTACGTTACTGGCCACTCAATCTAATTGCTGCACTTAATTTACTCTTCTAGTGACGTTCTCCACCTTTGGATGTCTGCTACTTTTTATCTTCTATTGTCTAGCTGACATCCAATGAAATGATTCCAAACACATTCCAGTGCCCTATTCCATAGGCTGATAGGTGCCAAGCATAAACCGATAACTCTTCCGGGGCGCATTTCAGATAGATGAGTGATTTCGGCTAACGAGAATGTGTATCTCAGCATACATAGAACCTAGAAATAATTTTAAGAGTATTGAGCGTGATGAAAGTGAGTTAAAGAAACGCAAGTCGGAATTATAGTCGGTGTGGTTCCGTTTAGACGGTCCGGGCCTTTTTATTCTTTTTTTTCGATATTTGAATCTGTAGATTCGACCTAGTTAAGAGTAGTGTACATCGTTGGCAGCGGGATAGTTACCAAGCATTTATTTTCTCTGTTTTCCGTGCCATGTTGCACGAAATAGTCTCAGAAGAATTGATTTCCTTGACAAGAGCAAGATGTCAGGCCGTATACAAGATTCAACATTTGAATCCAGAATTGCTAGAGCAGCGTAATAGCAATGTTGTATATCGGTGGCTCGACCTATTCCTGGAGACGTACCGCAGTTAACACAATACAATATGAGGGATAATAACAGCAAAAGAGCACCCAAGTGTCGTCTCCGCAATCCAAACCATGATCGATAACAAAGCTAGTAATAAAGTCAAAAGGGTCACTGGGGGGCATCTACTCGAACCAGATTATTATCGCTAGTGATGCAGAAAGCGCTACACATCCCGCATAACTAGCTGCAACTCTCTGTGAGACCTTTCCAGGCGCTGGCAGACAGTTCTTCCGTGAATTTGACTCTGAGATTGGCCCTTGAGTCACGTCGGCAGTTTTCGATTCCAGGGGTACTGAATCTGGTACGTTTGATAGAGATTTTCGGGTCCAAGTCGCAACATTATGCTGCCAGTCGGAAACGGGGGGATTCCACACCTCTAAAGTGCGAAAATCTGTGTTTTTGAAGACCAACAATGCATTGTTGATGGAACTAAATCTCAGTACCCATTCAAGAGAGTTGGATGTGTAAATGCCTGGCCCCAACTCGTTGTCAAGGGTGTTGTTATGGATGACCGGGGCGAAAAAAGCCATCAAGGCAGCCAATGCGGTCCGAGTAGACACTCGGTATAAGAATGATCCACCGCCCAGCTTGCTAACGTAGCCTTCAAGGATCTTCGCGGTTAGGCAGTGTTTGTTTTGGCTTCTCTTGACTCGAACGGTAGCGATATCTCGCGGTAGGCACTGGGGTCTGTATGCCGGAAACAGCTCCTCCGTTCTCTGAAGTGCGTATCGGTATCCAACTTGGGAGGGGATTGGATCGAGCCGGATTGGCATAATTACCACCGGGGGCTGGTCGAATCCAAAGAAATACCGATCATACATCGATCTTGGAACTTTGCCCTCTTCGATTAGGTGCTCCAGGATCCATGTTACGCGGACATTTATCGGGATGGCCCGTACCTCGTCTTGGAGGACAATGGATGGGTCGTACATTGCATCGACCAGCTTGTCGAGCCCTGCTAGCCAAAAAATGCTGCTCAAAGGGCCAATCAGCTCATCAAATTCTAAAGCAAAATCAGTTAGATGGTCCTCTGGCTTTTCCAAAATAGATATTGGTCTTCTTACGATAGCTGTTTCTGTCGAGGTACTCTTCGATCTCCTCGGGAATTTCTCCTGGGTATCCGTGCTATCTTGATCTTACCGGGCTAAATCCTGCTTCCGCTAACTCACTCATCGTACGAGCGACTTGATTTCGATTTCCCTCCATCTCTAAATCCGAAGGGGCTCCTAGCTTATCGTTGGAGATAGTAGGTGCTGTGAGAGTGGTCACAGGCAAATATTTTATGGCCGATGAACTCGAACTCGAGCATGAGAGGGATGGAAGGGACGAAATTGAAGGTACAGAGTCAGTCGGACTTATCGGGGTTGAAGTGGCCGGGCTCATCGCCGTCGCCGTAAACGGTAGCGGAAAATCTTGTTTTGGATCCAGGGCTTGATCAAGTAAGTTGGATTGTAAGGACTTGAGTTGTGTTATCTAGATGCCATTCTAATATCCATCCATGTTCGAAGCTTCGCTCTTTCCGAAGACAGTGGCACTTGCCAGGATATCTACATCTGGGAATTGAGCTTCTAAATTGTATCTGTCCACATGTACTCCATATTCCTTGAATCACCTAGAAATATCACACATGACAAACTTCTAATAGAAGTCAAAATCCTGATCATAATCAGTAAAGGGGCTTGCTGTTGAGCCCCCAGCTGTGTAATATCAACCTCAGGACGGGGCTTCGCAGTTAGGGACTAGGGCATGATTATTACTACAATGGCACGAATTGTCTTCGAATGGAATAGAGAGATCTCAGGTAAGGGATTTATCGGATACAACATAAGCCAATTTTTCTACAGTGTTAGACTTGCTGCAGTAGTTCAATGTTACTGGTTGATAGCACATGCATATTTTACGACTGTGTGGGTGTGAGATTCCTAAAAGGCATACATGTTGTGGGGGCATTATTTGAAAACAAGACAATTGAAAGATAGCAATAGCAACGCATAGCATGACATATGAAATGACGTTGAAACAAGTTTCTGAAGTATAGAACCCAAGTAGATGCCGAATCTCGGAAGCTAAAGCTTGAGGAACGCGGAGCTACAGAACACACAAGACAACACAAAAGCACCCCCGCAGCTTTCGCGGCTTTCGCAGCTCAACGCCCACTTTCAAGAAAACCGTAAACAAACTCAAGAACTCTCAACAATGTCTGCCTTCGCGCCTGAAGACTCAGACAACGATTACTCGTACGCTGAGGTCGACCCCGCGGAAACCACCCCTCCAATCCCCCAATCAATGGGCGACGCAGACCCCTCGCACGGCCAAGGTCACTCAAATAACCCCCTCTTGGGATCCGATAATCCTCTCATGTCAGATCTGGAGCAGGAAGTATTGGAAGAATACGCTCGATTGCTACAGAATGTCAACCAGGTACGTGGGAGAAGACCTTGATCTGAGCTTTTGAGGACAATCTTTTTTATAGGAATAGGATACAAACAACGTCATATTGAAAACCACAAGAACTACCATTATTTTTGATACTGGTTACTGACTAATGCCTCGCGTATAGCTGTCCGACAAACTCGCCGACCTTGCCGGCTCGCCCGCCTCCATGCCCCTCGACGGCCTTCGTCTCCTTGAACGCAAGACTGCGACTGTATGCACCCTGCTCAAGGCCAGTGTGTATAGCATTGTCTTGCAGCAGCAGATCTGGAATGAGAATGAAGAGCAACAGCAACAGCAGCAAAACGAGGACCGTCATTTCCAGGACCACGAGTATCAGCAGGGAGAATACGAGGGGGAGGGAGACATGACGTTCCAGTAAGGGAGTAAAAAAACAAAATTGTCTAAGGTGTTTCATGGTTCTTTTTCTGTTTACTCGCGTATTATACCCGGGGTGTTGTTGTCAAGTTTTCGTTTTGGCGCAAATCAGATGGTGTTTATGCAAAAGAACCTTGATAATTTTTCAGATATGCTGGGAATAGCCCAAGATACTGGAGAATTGGAGAATTGATGACCCATCAGGTTTAACAACCAACTTATAGAAGTACATGCATAAGACACAAGAAGAAGAGGAAGGAAAAGAGAAGCATTATATACACGCTGAGACGTAGCAGCAAGTCAAGGCCGTGATGTGCCCTAAATTTTCCCTGCGTAGTAAACCTTGCGCACATCGACAACTTTCCTGCCGAGTGCGTGCGCAACCTGCTCTGGGTTACGCTGGCTCATGAGCGCCTGATAGGCGGCCTTGACTGTGTTCATCTGGTTCCTTGAGCGACCAACTCGGGCGGATAGATCATGAATTCCACCGGCGCGGCACATCTCATAGATGAGGTATTGGACACGGAGTCCGAAGCCTGTTGGTTGTTAGAAAAAAGGAACACGCCGGGGGACGAAACTAGACATACCTGGTGGACGGTGCATCAGCTGCAACTCTGTGGCACCCACTTTGCCCTTGACATCGCCAAAGATGGTTCGGTTCTCGTAGCGGGGAATGGGCTGCATGTTTCGGATGGCACGGTATTGCGACTGGATCTTTGCATCGGAGGCTTCATCGGACTTGGCCTCACCGATACCCAGCAGACCATTTGCGTTACCGGCGATGGAAAGACGGTATGCACGGCGGACCTTTCCTAGTCGAGTCTGGTTGGTGACGCTGTGTGAAACAAGAGTCTTGGTGCGGAGGCCCTTGACCTGGCTCTCCGTGTAGCCCGTAGCCAGGAGCAGGCTCTTGAGGGCATCTGTCATTTCCTCGGCCTCTGCTGAGCGCTCCTTCTCGCCCTTCTCTGCGGCTGTCTTCCGCTCTTCCACGCGAGGCTCATCAATGGTCTCTCCGGGTCCGAAGAGATCCGGAACAAGTGCGCTGTGAGGGGCGAGCTCACTCTCCTCCTTGCCGTGGGTGACGCGCAGGTTGTCTGCGAACTTAACGAAGTCTGCACCTGTCGCGTTATCGGGCATCTCAAGGATATATTGGCCGAAGTCCTTCACGAAATCATCCTCGCTCTTCAACTTGAAATTGTAATCTGAGTTCGACTGCGGGGCGCGTTGGTGTCGATCAATGCCGGGCTCAATCACCGAGAAGTCATCGATGTACTTGAATGCCATGGGATCACTGCGTTCGTTTATTTGTTCTGCCAGATCCTTCGGGTCGATAGCGGCTTCGCCGGCTTCGACAGCGGCCATCTGTGCCTCCGAGTACTCCTTGGCGAGCTCGGCCTTCTGCTCTTCCGTGTAAGGCTTATAATCACCCACCCGAGGAGCCTTAACATTGGGGAACTTGGGTTTCCGGTTCGAGAGAGGCGCGGGAGTAGGATGGAATTGGCGTCGAGGGACTTGCGTACTTGGGCCGGCAGCACGGGTGAAGCTGCATAAAAGGCATCGTGCTGGCCGTGTGATGTTCATTATGATGGTGCAGTGAGCTCCCCAGCCAAAGAGAGGCCGGTTGAGAGCTTGAAAAATAAAGAAAAACGCGGAATGCGGAGACAATTGGGGGACGCAAAGGCAAAAGAGGCCAGTCGGAGGTGAAGCGTCGGGATGAATTTCTTTCTTGCGGGCGGTCAGTATCCAACCAATCAACGACGCGTTAGATGCGTTTCCAATAAATTTCCTATTTGATGATTTTCGTTCCAGAAATTATTTCGCTGTCGCTTTTCACCTTATATGTTTGCAATACGGTCATCTGTTAGGCGCTTGACTTCATCTTTGTCTTCTCAGACACTAACGGCTCTTCAAGTGCGGCCGGCTTCCAAACTTTATTATCAACGCCGCTCAACGAATACGCCAATCCCCGCAATAATGCAGAACGGTCCTAAGAAACACTTCGACGGCAAGCGCAAGAAGGCGAAGGTCGACAAGAACAACAAGAGCAGTGGGCATGATGAGGTTCTAATTTGCGATATCAACCAGCTTCTGAAACGCAACGAAACCGAGCAGGACGGCGGCAGCGAGCCTATGTCCCTTCCCGAGAAGTTCACTGAGATTGATGTCAAGATTGTGGAGCTTTCGTCAACAGGCGATGGTCTAGCGCTCGCTGACAATGGGAGACATGTCTATGTTGTTCCATTCTCAGTCCCTGGAGACATTGTGCGGGTCAAACTGGTGAAGCATTTCGAATCATTGTCATACAGCTTGACCGATTTCGTCAAAGTGATCGAACCGGGTCCCCAGAGAAACGATGCGCTGATTGGATGCAAATACTTCGGGGAGTGTTCTGGGTGTCAGCTTCAGATGATGTCCTACGAGGACCAGCTTGCTCACAAACGGCGCATTGTGGAGAAGGCCTATGCAAATTTCTCTGGATTGATCCCGGAGCTTGTTCCTACCATTGGAGAAACCTTTGCTTCGCCAATGCAATTTGGATATCGCACAAAGCTCACGCCGCATTTCGCACATGGTGGCGCCGGCAAAGGCTCTAAGCAGGATGGTGAAGAACCGCAGGTCCCCCCGATTGGATTCACATACAAGAACCGACGACTTGACATGGACATCGAAGACTGTCCCCTGGGAACAGACATTGTGCGTCGCGGACTCACCAGTGAGAGGAAACGAGTTGCGGAGAACATCCGTTCTTACAAGCGAGGTGCCACTCTCCTGATGCGGGAATCGACCACACGAATCCCCAAAGATGCCTTGCCTACTCCGGAGGGTGAGACTCCCACTGTCGGCGGGATTGCCGTCACTCCCAACGCAGACACGGGCGATGTGATCCGCATCGAGCGCGAAAACTACATCGAAGAGAAGCGTTGCGTCACAGACAATAACGCCACTTCCTTCGAGTACGTCGACGACTACATTTTTAGCAACAAAGCAGGTGCCTTCTTCCAAAACAACAACTCAATTTTGTCCGGCTTCACGGAGTATATTCGTTCGCAAGCCATACCAGCAGGCAACGACAAAGACGCAAAGCCCATCAAATACCTCTTGGACGCGTACTCCGGCTCAGGCCTGTTCACAATTACCCTCTCCCCATTGTTCAAGTCCAGTCTCGGTGTTGATATTGGAGGCGATTCCATCGTTTCAGCACGTGAGAATGCTCGTGCAAACAATCTTCCCAATACAGGCTTCGCTGCTGCTGACGCCGCTACTCTCTTCAAGGATGTTCCCTACCCATCAGATCAGACATTGCTGGTTATTGACCCACCTCGCAAGGGTTGTTCAGAAGACTTCCTGCGCCAGATGCTTGATTTCAAGCCGCGTCGTGTTGTCTATGTCAGCTGTAACGTCCATACCCAGGCTCGCGACGTTGCTGTTATGGTGCAGGGTGATGAAAAGCAGAATGTTCGCTATGAGATTGAGAGCATACGTGGCTTTGATTTCTTCCCTCAGACCGGTCATGTCGAGGGTGTAGCTATCTTGAACCGTACCTCTTTCCCTCAGACTGAGACTGTTTGAGTGACGGAGTGTCTGAAAAGTAATGTTCTTGACTCAAGCCTTCGTGGGTTGTATATTTGTCTGATATTGCATACTTTGTGGCGTTCTGGGAGAAAAATGTCAAAAAGCATTATGGCAATTATGGATATGTGCACTGTTAATACATTTTCATTTTCGATTCACTCCAAGATATTCAGGCTACAGACTGCCCATTTGCTCTAAGTTGCAAATTGGCTTTGAGTCCACCGTAGAAATTGTCGATGAACACCGGCGCCAAGCCGCTTTGGGTAAAAGAAAATATAGAGAGCACCCCCGGAGGAAGAAAGAAGAGAGATAAACAAACTATGAACAAAAGGCTGAGCTACATCAATTGACAAATATCTGATGACAAGGTTCACCCATTTTCACCTTACGAGCTCCCCGGGCCACCGAGCAGCGCGAACCGCCGCACAATGCTGGGACCTATCTCGTCATACTCCGCCTTGGTGTGGCAGTAGCTTCGGAACTCAGGCGTCTGTCCCAGCAGACTACCTCCGAACCAGGGACCGTGACGCTGGCGCTTGTGGGTGACAACAGCGACATCAAGACCACCACTCCGTGCACCACCGCTACGAGCCTCGGAGGCACGGATTCGTGCATCCACCAAGTGACGAATGTCTCGCTGTAGACGACGGCCAAAGTCCTTGTACAAAGTAGAACCACCAGAGAGCACAATGTTCTTATAGAGACCTCTCCGGACATCAATGGGGGAGGACTGGATGACGCCGTCAACAACATTGGGAAGCGGGGTGAGGAAGTCGGACGAGTAAATTTCAGGATTGAAGAAGATTTCCGGGGCGAGGAAACGTTCGTATCCAATGTCGATGTTGATACTCCGCCCGTTCGGAGCAGTGACGGTGTGCTTCAGGAAGCGATCCGGTTCGCGGTCGTAACGTGCGAACTCCTTGACAATGTCGGGGCTGACGTAACAGTACTCTTCCTTCACTTTCTCTGCTGTCTTTAAGCTGCTGTCGGGCTCTCCACGGTCACGTAGCAAGCTCTGCACGAAATATGTGATATCTCGTCCGGCAATGGGGATGCTCTTGATGGAAGAGCCGATGACGTAGCCCTCAGCAACGGGGATAACGTGGGTAACACCATCACCCGAGTCAATGACTGTTCCAGTCAGGGACCGGTCCGTCACCTTCGAGGATGTCCACGAGGCAGCAAGGGCGAGCACTGCTTGCACAGCAATGTAAAGACCGGCGCAGTTGAACGACTCGAACATGATTTCGGCGGTGTTCTCGCGGTTCTCGGGAGGGTTGAGAGGCTACAATTCAGAAATGTCAGCTCCCATCGTGTTAAATGCAGCCAATTGGCAGTATTTGTAGTCGCCTTACAGGTTCAGTGAGTAGGAAGTAGTGGTCCTCAGGCTCCACGCGCAGATATTTGAAGATCGAGTTCGACCAGAATCGTTCCATGTGGTCCCAGTTCTCGACTTGTCCATGCCGGATCGGGTAATTAACTCCATATCCTGGTCCACTGCCCGCGGCCAGAGCTTCGTCGCCGATAAAGAAATCCAGATCCTCCGTGCCACGCTTCGCGGACAGGTTGGAGCTACCGCTGCCAGCGCCTAGGAAGGAGGGCTTGTTTGCGACCGGGGGCCGGCCCCCGGAGCTTCCAGTACTTCCAGCACCAGCCTTGGTTGCAATTGCGGTCGGAAATACAAATGAGGGGGAGTCGTTGCCAGCGAAACCTGGAATTGTGGAGGTAGCATGTCAGCCTAATCTGTGATCGCGAGCTCCCTAACCACTACAGAAAGGACATACCAAGCTTAGAATAACCAGTTCCACTAGAAAAAAAAAGCACAGAGTCAGCATTGAACATCATTTTGATCCTTGCAGCTGTGAACTTACTTGTCCATGACAACGGCTGGTGTTTGGGACGCCATGGCGGGTGGTTGGGCCTGGGCACGATAACAATGTAGTAAGGGGTTGAAACAAGAGTAGACAATTTATAAGAAAAGGCAACAATTAGGGAATCGGCTGAATCTCAAATGGAAGCCGAAATCACCCTGACTTCAAGGGACCAAGAGGACAAGCAGACAAGGCGGGGGGAGATGCAGTGCCCGGAGGTCAGATTACCTAAGGGGTCACACGTCAACCGGTGGATATCATGTGCCGGGAAGTATCAAAAGATCCTCAGGCCTCTGTCAAGGAGAAAGCAACCATCGAAGCTATGCCGTCTCGGTGATGCCAATTCTACCGTCTAATTCTGGCTGAAAAGTGAAACTTGATCAAAATGGCAAGAACGACCAGTGCTATGAGAACTCACATAAATTCGCAATATTCTCTTACTGTTCATTTACACACCTTCAATCCCTAAGACTATCATCCTTTCTCAGTCTTTCATTATTCCCGCATCATTATTTTCTGATGCGCGGGGCGCGTAAAGTGCTGCCCTTCGCTCTGTGTATTCTTTTCTCACCTCAACACGGATGGTCTCGCCGTAGGCTCTTGTCTTCTCTCGCATCACTCCCTGTACCAAAGTCGGCCATAGCATTAGAGCATTGGTTTCCAGTGGTTATCTAGCCTGAAAGTCCAGGCGGCCCCTCGCTCTCACTTGAAGTACAGAACGCACAACGAGCGTCTGCATTTTGATCAACAATCTACGAGTGCATTGCAGACGCGTCCAAGATCTGCCAGTTCACGCGTCGCATCAATATCTTCCCCTTGTCCCGATCTCGTGGCAACCGACGTATTATCCGCCTATCTGATTTGGGATATCATCTTTGATACTCGGACTCAATCGACGACGCTTACCTTGCGTCAAGATTCGAGACTTTTATGCGAGAAATCCTTTCTTTTTTTACACCGACCTGATATCTCGATCAATAGTGCACTATCCTATGCTAGATCCCAAATTGCACTTGCCGACCCTCTTGAAATGTCTCAAATGTCCAGGAATGAGGGCGTTTGTGCCATATTCATTCACGCCGGGGCGGGCTTCCACAGCCATGAGAATGAGCATAAGCATTTGAGGGCCTGTGAAATGTCAGTATTACTCGTTGATAAATTTGATGGTTTCAAAGCCTAACACGTGAAATGAAACAGAGCAGCGCTCAAGGCCATGGCATTCCTAAAGAGTGGTGGCACCGCCGTTGACGCCGTCGAAGCTGCCCTGATGGTGCTTGAAGATAACCCGATCACAAATGCAGGATTTGGAAGCAACTTGAACGCAAAGGGGGTAGTTGAAGGCGATGCATCAATTGTCGACCACAATGGGCTAAGTGGAGCGGTTGGGGCTGTGCCCAGTAAGTTTGTTGTATCTCTTTCTCGGAAAGTCTTGTCTAACCTGTTGAACCGCTAGACATCAAGAACCCTATCATGCTTGCTCGGAAGATTTATGACAAGTCCAATGTGCAGATGGGTATGTCAAGGGTACCCCCAAACTTCTTGGTCGGAGAAGGTGCCAAGGACTTTGCATGGGAGCATGGTATGGTGATCATTCCTGAAGAAGCCTTGGTCTCGCCCGTCGCTCTAGAGCGATACGAAGTATGGGCCGCAGAGGTAAATAATTATGAGAATGAAACCCGTGGCGAAGTGATTGACCCCTGGATTCGCCGGCCCATGACTCCCCTTGACACTCGTCTTGAACGTCTCGAGCGTGCTTCTCAATCAGGAGCTCACACTGCCATTCATGCAGTGGAGGAGGAAATTCGAACCCTGCCTGATCCAAGCCTTTTTGCAGATGTGAAGGGGCGCCCGCGAGCATCGCTGGAGCGTCAAACTCAGAAAAAGGCCAAGCTCTCAATTTCGCACCTACCTGTGCAGCCTGTCTCAGCTTGTTCACCATCTCGCGATGGCAGCCCCGATGCCGCAGAAAGTGAACAAGATGCGGAAGATGCGATCACGGACACTGTGGGCGCGATTGCCATCGACAAATATGGAAATATTGCAGCAGGATCTTCTTCTGGTGGCATTGGCATGAAGCACCGAGGTCGAATCGGACCTGCAGCCCTCATTGGCATTGGCACCCATGTTATTCCGCGAGACCCGACTGATCCGGATGGAACAACATGTGCAGTCGTTACATCTGGGACCGGAGAACTCATCGCTTCAACACTGGCAGCAAGCACCTGCGCGCAAAGGATGTACTACAGTCAGAAGATGGGCGACAATGGTATATTTACCCAGGTGATGGAGGAAGATGCCCTCAAAGCATGGATGAAAAGGGAGTTTAACGGTGCGCTTTCTGTCTCTTTTACTGCCATAATTTTCCAACGCTAACACAAAGTTTGCGTTTGCCTGTTAGAACACAGCGCCGTGAGTAACAGCATACTGTTTGGGGCCCTGGGGGTGGTCGTTGTGAAGAAAAACAATTCCGGCATCGAACTCTACTTTGCTCACAATACTGACTCCTTCGTGAGTCTCTCACTCCTGTAACTGTGCCAGACTGGTGGCTAAACATGTCTCGCAGGCCATTGCCTCTATGTCCAGCAATTCAAAAAGACCGTCTTGTCTAATGTCGCGAGGCTCCCGCGGAACCATTGCTCAGGGAGGTTGCCGAATCAGGTTTCCAGAACACTGCAAGTTTCATTGTCAAATTGAATATACAAGTTGTGAGTACTGACACACAAAATTTGATCAGAATTGCAATGCACCCTGGATGAGGACTACAACTATGTTGTAGCGAAGCCTCTTTGCTCCGCCGACTTCTGGTCTGTTTGGTACTTATTAATGGACGAGGTGGTTTCCACCCTCAACCACCTGTATCTGCTTCAGTCTACCTCATCCCCTTTCCGTTCTCTGCATTACGATACCCAATTCCCTGTTGTGGTTCTTGGCATTGCCACACCAATGATCCGCTTGCATGGTGACAAGATCACAAGACGAGCGACTGTTTTCATGGCTCTTTCTTGCTGTCTCTGGACGGTCTGCTTCTCTGAGACCCGGCGCCGACGATGTGATCAGAGTTTGTTTTAAAAAGCCCCGGCGTTCCTTCCTGTGCGTACCTACTCGTTTCACGCTATTAAAATGAGAGCCGTCCCAAATGATTTCCTTGTAAACCGGCTGCATGTAGTGTTGCTCATCTCGTAGCATCAAGCCAATTTGTGTTCCAGGAGTAATGCCAACACGCGCTTGGTAGATTCAGGTCTCGTCATAGTGTTTTCCCTAACGACATAACCTTGCACGGAAGAGATATCAAGGACCCGGCGTAGGTGTTGATATGGGCGTCCCCGTCGTGGATGTCCCATTAACACGCTTCTTCTTCTTCTTTTTCCTTGGCAATAGAGCTGGCTTGGCATTATCTCCGATGTCTAGATGCGTGCCACAAGTCATGCAATCACTACCAGGGGGCGGTCCGCAGAAAATACTGAGACAAATGGAGCACACAAAGCCAACATCAACCACCCGGCGATGACAAAAGCAAGCAGCCCGGAAATCAACATCCACCCGCGTGGGAAGAACCAGATGGCGACGCGAGCGCTGATCCGGTAAGAACGCCATCATCAGATACTGCAGCAGGCCTCGTGGCTCGGCAAGCGCCATATAAACACCCTTGGTAGCATCAGACGCCTGCTGCAGGAAGACCGCATCGCCACTAAGCTTGCACACATCGATGGGGATGTTCAAGCGCTGGCAGGCGAAGATGCTGTTCATGATAGGGATATACTGGTGTGCGGCGTCGGTAGACCCGCTCACAGAAATGACCAAGATGCGACTCTGCAGCCGCTCATCCTCGTTCGAGGCGGAGTACCGATTCACAGATGCGCTCGTGCCACCGCCGTGTCCGTTTCCATTGCCGTTGCCGTTGCCATTGCCATTGCCATCGGCTGCTGCGTCTTCGTTGTTGGTGCCGCCATGCTCCTCCGCCCAGGCGAGCGCGCGTCGGTTCGTGTGGCTCAGGGCGAGTGTTAGCGCGCCTGCTAGCATCGTGGACATGTTGCCACGTAGATCGTCGCCAGTTGTTGAGTCCATTAGCTCTTTGAGGTTGCGGGTGACTTGTTCTTCGACAATACGGAAGGGACGGTATTTGTTCGTTTCGGGGGGTTGGGTGTCGCTTGCGCCATTCATTGCGACGTCGCTGTCATGGTCGGCGGTACGGTTCCGGGGTGCATTGTGGGATGGGTAGAGCCATGCTGCTTTTTGGCAGTGCGATGCGACTACGGCGACTTCGTTGGCATAGTTGCAGGCTAGGTGGGCGTTGATGAAGACTAGGATATTGGCGATTGCTTTGGAGAGTGGGAGAGAGTGTTCGAGGATAGCCCAGGCGTGTGGGTTTGTGTCGATGACTATTGTGAGCAGGGACGGGGAGAGGTCTAATTGGCGACACAGTTAGCTAGTTTTTCGTTTCTTATAGATGGCAGAGAATACGGACCCGTAGCTCCTAACTCATAATGCTCCGAGGCATCCACGGAATTCATTGCGTTGAGACAGGGGAATTATTCGAGGCCAGTGTTCATAATTGTGGGCTGTGGCTCTCTCAGATTGATGACACGCCGGTTTAACTGGAATCCGAGGTGCTGCCTGTACAGCTAGGATTTTTTTTGAAGTCTAAGCTCTGTCCAGCAGAGCTCGGGATGTCTGTTGAGGATCTTGAAGCGATAAGCCAATCACGGGGTGATAACAACTGCTGTAGCTTCCAGGGCGCCGATATATATCTTGTAAATATTTTGACATACAACGCCAACCAATGTCCGGACTTGCATTGTCTACGTTTAATTTTACCTCGCAATTCTTAACTGACTCATTGGGATCTTCGACCGACTCACAAGTAATTCGGAACCTAGACTGGAACCCAACATTCCAATCGGATTGACTTCCACACCGTGAAGCCTTGGGTGACTAAAATTACCTCGAATTTATGAGCATCAATTGTTTGAGTTCTCTGTTCGGTCAATTTGAAATACAACATACAGGATGTTTTACCTCTTGGCATATCCCTTGAATGCGCCAAGATGAGACTATTGCATGTGATGTTCTCTAGTAAGTTTCAAGGATACCTTGAGTATCTACACGAATAGCCCTAGTAAGATCGGAGTGCATAGGAGATGCCTTGACCTTGGAATATGACTTCCGGGATTGTAACACAAAACTAACAAAAGGACTACCTCCAGGTAAGCCGAGTAAAGGCTTATCGAGAACGTGACGGTGTTCGTTGCTGTGGTTGGTGTCTTATCGGGCCAATTGATAATGGCGATTCGTGAAAGAAAATGGGCGTACAACTGTAAGATCCAGTTTTTGACATTGTACTCTCGATCCGGGGAAAAGTACATTGTGTCATTAAGAAATCAAATAGGCCAACACGGCAAACCGACATATAAAGGATATTCAATATCAATCATCATTCTTCTTCCAACACCTCCTTTTTCCCTTTCCCCATAAAAAGCGGTTGTCCGTTCCCACCTTATCGATCATCTTTCTCCGCTCCGCCCTCCCCTCACCCAGAAAAAAAAAAAAGGCTGCTCCCATCCACTTCAACTACATTGAACCACAACTGGAGACTTGATTTCTGGTCGTCTCTCGCGCAACCCTGCAATGGTTCAAGCAACGGGCGAAGAGCGCGCTGTACACCTGGCCCAAGAGGCTGTCGACCTGGTCGACGCGGGCCACCGAGAGGTCGGTGATCTATTTCTTGACCCCCCCCCCCCCCCCCAAACCGGAAGCTAGCGGAATACTGACATGCAGCTTACTAACTAGGCTGCTTCCCGGAATCTTAGAGAAGCTCTTTCACTCGCCCCCGAAAACCCTCAAGTGAAGGCCGCCTTCCTGAAAGTTCAGCATGAAGACAAAGACGGTCACCAGCTTCTCGATCTCTGCCGCCGATACACCACACAAAATGATGAAAATGCCGGCAAAGAAGCTGCTAATTATCTTGGAACCGATGGCCTGAAATCCCCGGACGCTGTTGCCTTGGAATGCCTCAAATTGTTGCTCGCACAGCGCCCCCACTCTCTATCAACGACACAGGATGAGATCATATCTGGGTTGGTGCGACAGCACGTCAGTGTCCGACAATACTTCTCTACACAGCTCCAGACTTCTGTTACTGCATTCTTCGATGAGATATATGATCGGGGCGATGGAGCAGCGGTGTGTCTGGACACAGTGGTGTTAGACCCCACCGTATGGATTTCAGAGGAAACAAGATCCCACTGCGAGAGTGAACTCTTTCAGCTTTTCATTGCCAAGTTGATGGAATCAGGCCATGATCTTGATGGTCGCTCTTTGAAGGGAATTACTCGATTACTCGCTGTCCACGCCGTCGAACTCGAACATTTGATCGACGATGAAGGGCTCGAGGTTATCCTCTCATCCTTGGACAACCGATTGCCGCTAGAAGTTCGGAGCCAGGCGACCTTGGCGACCGCGAAATATCTCGAGGTCGCCAAGGAGGCGGGCGAGAAAAAGCTTTTGACACTGGTCATGTCCATTCTTGGCAAAGGGCGTGTCAGCGATCTTATCGTTGCTTTCTCTGCGGTGGCCGCGATCTTCCCCGTGGCTCCCTCCGCAGCTGCCAATCTGTTCTTATCGGAGGAATTCATGACCTTCCTCATGCCAATGGCATCCCGAGAGACCAAGAGCAAGAAGGTAGAACTGCCCGTGTTGGAACTTCTTAATGCGGCTTGCATCAACCGTCCATGCCGCGAGGCTGTCTCAAAGAAATTTGGGGAGTGGTTGTCACACGTCCTGACCAATGGAAGTGATAGTTGCTCGGAATTGGCTGCAGTGGCCCTGGCGAAGATCCGGGCATCCGAGCCCGAGAAATCCTCGACTGGCAACGGTAAGGTCTTGGAACAAGACAGCGAGTCTGAACTAGTTCACCGATTCATGGGACTGATGTCTGAACAAAAGGTTGAACACAACTCCCACGCAATCGAAGGATTGGCTTATACTTCGGTCAAGTCGTCCGTCAAGGATCAACTTGCCAATGACTCGGTTTTCCTACAAAACTTCATTACGGCCATGAAACAGAAAACCAACGACTCATCTGCGCTCTATGGTGGCTTGATGGTAATTTTAAATCTTACCAAATTCTTACCCAACTTGTCTGAAGAGCAAAAGAAGATGGCACAGCTGAAGGACTATGCGGACCCGTCTACCGGAAAGATAAAGGCGGCACCAGAAATAGACATCCGAGATGAAGAGGATGCTGTCCTGGTACGATGTGCTGCCGTTATCGATGCGGGCATCATGACTCTGCTCGTTGAATGCGGCCGGATCTCCTTGCCTTCCACCAATGAGCTCACAGCAAAGATTCTGCTATCATTGACAAGGCCTCAAAAATCCCGCGGTACACTGGCCCAGCAAGGTGCGGTGAAGCTGCTACTCGGCCTTGCAGCCCCAAAACAGAGTAGCGCTGGCCCTGTAACGAACGAAACGACACGCATTGCATCCCATGCGTTGGCTCGCATCCTCATCTCCGTTGATCCTTCACATGTTTTCCCATCATCTGGATTTCCCCAGGTTACATCCGCCGTTCGCCCGCTTCTCTCCCTTCTCTCATCACTCGACACTGCCTCACTCTCCGCCGACCAACCCCGCGACCTACTCCCAGTATTCGAAAGTCTCCTAGCTCTGACAAATCTCGCTTCGTATCCGTATGACGACTCCGCCCCAGAACTCACAGTCCGGGAAGGCTGGTCTGCAGTAGAAGATCTGCTTTTGTCTAGCAATACTCGAGTTCAGCGAGCTGCCTGCGAACTCGTCTGTAACCTGATGACTTGCGAGTCCGGTGTTATCAAGTTCGCGGATGGCTCCAAGCAAGCGGCTCAACGTCTCCACATTCTGCTGGCTCTGACCGATGCCGACGACACTCCGACGCGACGGGCTGCCGGCGGAGCTCTTGCGATGTTGACGGAGTTCGATGCCGCCATAGCAGCTATCCTGGACCGACCACGGGGTGTTGAGCTGCTTTTGGGATTGTGCCAGGAAGAAGACGATGCCTTGGTTCACCGAGGCGTGGTTTGTGTGCGTAACTTCACTTGCGTCGCGACAGGTGACATCGGAGCCCGCGCCAAAGCTGCCGTTCGTGTCGCAGGAGGAATTGATGCTCTCACTGCGTGTCTCAAGAAGACGAGGAACCAAGCGGTGCTACAGGCCGGGGTAGAGGCCTTGAAACCGCTGATCCAATGACAGACATGACCGTTCAATGTCTTTAATTTCTGAGCAGACTCTTTTAACGTTTTCCATTTGCATGTATGTGGTTTTGGGACGGACTGGCTGATCCAGAGGAGTTTTTTTTTCTTTGCGATTTTTGCACCTTTTTTCATGTCTTTTTAGTGAGTGTCCGAGATGACCTCCTGATCACGAGCACAGCGACGGATTTAGCGACTGCTTTTTTCTTAGGACGCCTAAGGGAGGCGTCCAATCTGTGGAAGCACACAGAGTGCAATGGGTCCCATGCTAGCCTTTTGACATAGAATTATGAATGGCTCGGTCTTACCCCCAATTTCTGATATGAGCACCTGACTATCAATCTAACTCCCAACCACATGTCACCAAACCTGTGGCGCTGCTGTAGTTCTATGGTGTAGGGTCACGGGGACTCCCCGTATGGATCCCTGGAACTTTCAACCATTCAAGCTCCTAGGAACTTCACCGACATTTCTCGATAGGTTCTAGTTGAATCTCTTTTTATCTCTTGAAGGTCACAGAGCACTTCTATATAGGAGGATCCGGGGTCGGACAAAGACTTGATGCCGATCCCGTGTGCTGCATCTGGGGGCTAAGAGGTGGTCTCCTCTCCCAGAGACGGAAGATCCACCCAAATTTTCGTGAGCTTCCGGAAGCCATTCCACACCGCAAATTTGCATAGTGAATTATAGTACGGAGTAAAGACAGTTGAGATACACTTTCAAGGTTAGCTTGGCGGATATAAATAAGACCGTACCGTGAAGGGCGCCCCCGTGGGTCGACAAATCATGTTCAATCCATCGCGCACACCTTTAAGCGGTTCGCCTTCCTAAGCTCACTGGACTTTCTCCTTACACAACTTCTTGGCAAGCTCTTAGTTTCTTCGACCTATCCTCATCCTTATTCACTAGGTGTGCAAAGTATCCCTTCCAAATTCCCGACACTCTCAGACAGGTACAGTCAGGTGCACCTTGGAGCTCTGTCTCGTTGTCTTTCTCCCTTTGATCATTCCTCTTCTCCCTACTCCCTCACATACACATCTCAAATGGCGTGGTTCATTTCTTCCATTGCCTGCGTTCGGCCGCTCACCTGATCGCTTCCTCGTGACACTCAGGTTGAAATCGCCGCGAATTCCCTCCGATTGGAGACCCCGGACACCGTTGGAAATTGCAGATCAAGTGTGGACTTGGAAAGGATTGTGGTTGTGAACCGAATACTAGTGGAACTGTTGATCTCGCCAGTATGAAATTCGGCCGCAATTTGTCGCAATTCACGGTTCCCGAGTGGAGCACCTCCTATATCAAGTACAAGGCCCTGAAGAAGCTTATCAAGTCTGCTGCTGAGCAGATCAAAGCGGGACAAAATCCGGATTTGGCTGGTAAGTTTGGTAGTTCGTTTTCTTGGATTTACCATTTTGAACCATCAAATGCCCTTCTGGCCAGGCCTTTGTGTTGATGCTTATAGGTTTCTTCTACAACCTCGACCGAAATGTTGAAGATGTCGATTATTTCTACAACAAGAAGTATGCCGAGTTCGCCCGCCGCTTGAAGTTGCTCGAGGAGCGCTATGGTTATTCCATGGAGGGTCACCATCCTCTCGAACCCGAGGATCGGCATGACCTGCGCGAGGCCCTTTTGGATCTGCGATACCACTTGCGCCGCTTACAATGGTATGGTGAAGTCAATCGACGTGGCTTCGTCAAGATTACCAAAAAGTTGGATAAGAAGGTTGGTGCGCAGGCCCAAAAGCGTTATCTAGAGACTAAGGTCGACCCCACTTCGTTCGCCTCCAATGAACGCGTCTTCAAGTCTCAGGATCGAATCAATTCTTGGATGGCCATCATTACCGACCAGTCAAAGGCTGACGATAAGGCGTCCGATGACGCGAGCTCCACCCATTCTTCCCTCTCATTGAAGCGTGGCTCAACTAGGCCTTATCTTAACCTGCCCGCCAGCATTGTCACTGCCGTGGATGACGCGCTGCGCAAGGATGACACACATGTCTTCCTCGAATTACTCGAGAATTTGAAGGTTACTGCAGACGAAGCGGGAGAAACGGTTTACGCTAGGGTTCTCAGAACCCTGATTCAGCGCTCCATCCTTCATCGTTCACGGGCTGCTCTGACCCTTCTCCTGACTCGGGTTGACACCCTAGAAGAGGACGATGATATCAATCGACGTAACTGCCTTCACCGTCTGGTCATTTCCATTGGCCGTGAGCAGCCCACGACAGACTCCGAGCCCGCGGCGTCGATGGTGCTCAACTTCCCTTCGGAGACTGCCCGCTACATCACGCCCGCGGCGCCTCCGACCCTCCAACCGCCTCGTCCTGTAGTCAAAGAGGAGCACATGCCCCAGCAGCTGGATCGCGATGATTCTGCCGTTACTCACTTCCAGTTTCTACTGGACTCGCTGCGTCCCGACCAGCGTGAGTCTTTGATGGCCAAGGACCTTTCTGGACGCACTCCTTTACACTACGCGGCGCAATATGGTTTCAAGGTCGTGTGTGAAGTGATCATTGAGCATCTCATAGAATGGGGCATGTTCGATGTTAGCGATGGGATCGACGGCCCTCTCTGGCAGGACAATGACGGTTGGGCCCCGCTTCATTTAAGTGTTGTAGGGGGCCACCCTAAAACTACCCGGTGTCTCTTGGATGCTGAAAAGGAGAATGATCCCTCGCAGGAACGAAGCACCATCCGAAAACAGGTTTCCAAGTCTAGTGCAGTACTGGCACTAGCGACCAAGGCCAACTTTATTGATATTGTTCAGCTTCTGGTAGATGCCGGTGTGGATATCAATTACCAGGATGAACAGGGTGAGACTGCATTGCATGTTGCCGCTCGATTTGGCCATGACGAGTGCGCGCAAATTCTGCTGGATGGCAGCGACGACCAGAAAGCAGACATCGAATTAGCCGAAAAAACGTATAGCTGGACACCACTCTTCATTGCCTGCGTGGATGGATGTCTGAGTGTGGCTAAAATGCTTGTTTCCGCTGGCGCAGACGTGGAGCGTTTCGATTCCTCTGGCTGGACGGCTAAGGAGCATGCAGCCCTCCGAGGCCATCTTGACATTGCACGGTGCTTGGCAGAAGTTAGCCCCGGCCCTCCTGCTACCGAGCTCGACTTTTCATCGTCTACTCCAAACCTCACTGGTTCAGAATCTTCTTCGCCTCCGATTCAGTCGTCCCTCACTGATCGTAGGTCGAATGCGCCAGGCCCAACCTCTGGGGGCTCTGGCACACGGACTACTGAACCCATCAAGACCTTTGGACACAGGTATCTCACCAATGAGAGCATGATCTTGGTCAGTCTGGGAACCATGGACATGCGCGAGCCGCTTGAGACCGTCAGCCTCGACCGCATTCCGATGGAGAATGCACACGCCACCCAGCTAGACACGTCTTTGTCGATGGTGATAACTGCTAGCGGTGCACACGGCGAGCCGGAGGTGATTGATTTGCCCGTGCAAGACAACATCTCAACCGAGCCAATCGTCTTCCACACTACCGATCCTAGCAAAGTGCGTCTACTTTTCGACCTGGTTCCTACCTATGCAGGCTCGAAGGAGAAGATCGTTGGCCGGGGTGTCGCTCTGCTTTCTAGCATCAAGCCCACTGTGGGGTCGCACCGAATTAACCTCAAGGGTGATTCCACTGTTCCAATTGTTGCCGCGAATACCCTTGAGGTGATCGGGTCTGTGACTTTCAACTTCCTCATCATCACCCCCTTCAAGCACCCAAAAATGTCTATCGCTGGCAACCAGACCTATTGGCGCTCAATGAGCTCAACCATGGTCATTGGACACCGTGGGCTGGGTAAGAACATGCCGGGCCGCAATTCGCTGCAGTTGGGCGAGAACACTGTGCAGTCCTTCATCGCTGCGGCCAATCTGGGAGCCTCTTATGTTGAGTTCGATGTGCAGCTCACAAAGGACCATGTCCCTGTAATCTACCACGACTTCCTGGTCAGCGAGACGGGCATCGATGCGCCTGTTCATACAATGACGCTCGATCAATTTCTCGAGTTGGGCATCGGACGTTACCGCCACGCCTTGCCCGGATCTGTCAAAGCCAACGGCGAAGCATCTGAGTATGGTCCGCGCCAGCGCTCAATGTCCGTCGGCGGCTCCGAGTACAACCCCGCCGAACTCACCGAGAAGATCAAGCACACACGCGACTTCAAGAAGAAGGGATTTAAGGGCAATACCCGCGGTGAGCACATCCAGGCACCATTCGCCACTTTGGAGGAATTATTCACGAAGATCCCGAAACCTGTCGGATTTAACATCGAACTGAGTGAGTTACTAGAGCTTTACGAAGAACATGTATTCCATCGATCTAACCAGGGTTGCTAGAATATCCCATGCTCCACGAGAGCGAGGAGGAAGAAATGGACACCTACGCAGTGGAACTGAACTCCTTCGTCGACACTATCCTGACGACGGTCTATGACCTGGGAAGCGGCCGCGACATGCTGTTCTCCAGCTTTAACCCAGATATCTGTCTTCTGTTGTCTTTCAAGCAGCCTTCCATTCCCGTTCTCTTCCTGACCGACGCAGGCGCTTCCCCGGTCGGCGACATTCGCGCCAGTAGCTTGCAGGAGGCTATTCGGTTTGCCTCGCGATGGAATCTTCTTGGAATCGTCACCCAGGCTGAGCCCTTAGTTCTCTGCCCGCGGCTAGTCCGTATCGTCAAGGAATCTGGTCTTGTGTGTGTCTCTTACGGAACGCTCAACAATGACGGCGACAATGTCGACGTAAGTATTCTCTTTTTCATGTCCCCCAAACTCTAAACAACCATCTTACCACTTTAATTGTGTAGTACCAAGTCTCCGAAGGCATCGACGCCGTTATCGTCGACTCCGTACTCGGAATCACCAACGGCCTCATCCAACGCCAGGGCAAGGGTGACCGCACACCGGGCCCATCACCCAATCCTTCGGCCGTCAGTGACCAGGCAGCTGACTCTGCTAAGGGCACTGTCGCAGTTCCTACTCTCGATCGGGTGAACCAAACTAACCTCTCACCGGATGTGATTCCCTCTACCCTTCTATAATAATCGCATTGTGATGTATCATCTTAATCTGTCCTGGGGAATTGTGATTTATCGGTATATGATGTCAATAGTTTGCATTCGGCTTTTACCAGCTTCAACAGCTGTCAATGCCAGTTGTTTTTGACAGTCTGTTTATGTGGTGCTCTCTCCGGGTTTCCCTATAGCTTGAAGGATAAAAAGCCATTGCGTTGTCTACACAACGACAGCAGCATTCTAATAGTTTTCTACACACAATTCGGCCAATGAATTTTCCCAAATCGTGAGTCACGGCCAAAGCACTTTCCTACAAGATTGGATGGATTTTTTCACCGAATTGTAAATCCATGCAATATCACTTATGCCAAATGCGGAGAAGTGAAGTCTTCCCACTTAGCATCTCTACCATAAGCTAAGGGAAGAATGAGCTCTACAAAGATAGTTCTTCGTGTAAAGCTACAGGTACATCGAACAACGACCAGATAAATAAATCTGTAGATATGGAGATGAACCGTGGAAGACAAATCCACGTGTTCCAGGCTCTCTTGGCGCCAAGACAGGAGTGCGGGGCCGTTGTCGGGGATACTCCTTGCGTGCAAATGTAGATGTAGTTAGATTTCTTTTCTATGTCATGTAGTACGGTCTCTGCTAGGTTTCTTATTAAATAGGTAGACTGCGATGAAGCCTCACGTAACGATCGTATGGTCCTTACCGGATGCTAGGGCCTAATATCTATGCTGCTGCAAAGACATATGTATGTTGTGGTGATGTTCTGTTTGTCCTGATGATCTTTTTGGCCGATGAAGAAAGCCCAGATTGAGGACACACATGGTACGAGTCTATCAGGCCAAGCGAGAACCTCGCAGTGCATTTCCTCTTTGTTGCATTTGGTTGACGGATCTTTGGCGAGCGCCTCCCGTCTTCCAATGCTCTTGGGATCCAGATATGGCCTCTCTCCAAGGCCGACAGCACGATGTCCAGTGCGTGGGCCAAGCCCGTCATAATCCCAAGTGGCTGCGTGATATACCGATCGATTGTCCCAGATAGCTATGACACCAGTCAGATCAGGCATTTACCAGTTTCCACGGGGAACATACCAAGATCGTTCGGGGTCAGCCAGCGATTGCGTACCTGCAGGTCATGGTTCTCAACAATCAGAGTGACAAACCAGTCGAGCAGATGACGGCTTTCCTCCTCGGAGACACCATTGACCTTTTGCACGTGTGAGCCAACAGCGATAACACTCTTCCATCCGGTGACAGGGTTAGTCCGGATGACAGGGTGCTCAGCAATTAGTGCCTCTCCAACATTCTCGGGTGCACCACGAGGACCAACGTGGATATGGAAATTGTTGCGTTTAGCTATTTCATTGAACTCAGGTTGCGCATAGGTTGCGGTTAAGCTCTCCAGGAACTTCTGGTAGGGCTCAGAGATACGATCATAAACTTCATAGCCTGAGGCCCATAGGGTATCTAGAACAGGATAAATGTCTGTGGACAGTCATCGAGAGAGCTTGCAAAGAGGTCTTACCACCACCAGCTTGGGGAAGCTCTGTGAGACGCAAGAGAGTGTAATTGCTAGGAATGGGCTCAAAGGTAATGTCACTGTGCCACTCTCTGCGCGCGCTCTGCTTTCGGGAGTTTCTGCTCTTGTACAGCTTTTTCCGGCCTACGGAGCTGATCACACTAATTTCATCGTCCTTGACCCCATGTTCCCGCCCCGAATTTGCTACTGGATAGATGTGCAGCCCAGATGTGCTTGGCTTTCCGGAGAGTTCACCAAGTCTTTGGACTAACTCCGTTTGCAAGTCGGTATCTACCTACCTACCTACCTACCAATAATCCCGGCTTTTTTTCCATCGCCTCATCAACTTCGCTTTTCTGGGGCTGGAGGATGTTGACATTCTCGACAATCAAGAAGCACATTGAAGAGTGAGGAAGAGGTTCCCTTGCGTCCGAGGTTCAAGGAAAACAAGGGGTATATATATGTGGAACGAAATACAGCGTATTTTTCCACTAGACCTTAACAAAAACCAAGGTTCCTGTTTCTGGCCTAGGGGGGCTATATTTGAGGTTTGACAATATTTCTTGTTCTGAGGCGGATGGAGCTCAGGCGTTTACGTCAGTATATTTGTTCAACTAGGTAGTTAGCACAGCCACTATACAACTACCCGCCGGGATCTCACTTTACGTGGCTCCATCCTCTGTTTTTATTCAAACCGAGCTTCAGAGCTAGCTTTCTGATTGGCCTGGATCCACTTATTACTGTGATTCGATCTTGCCCATACGACTCAGCGATTGGTCGGAGTAGAACAAAGATCTGGAGAAAAATGTAAATATCCCGCAGTTTAGCATTGATTTGTGATACACCATGATTTGTCTCATCAACTGCTTGTGGTTGCTGCAATGCTCTAGCTTAATTCTTTTGACGGAGTGGGGGCCTAAGATCGATGGTCCAAGAAAAAGACTGACAGGGCAGCAAAATACCCAAAGGGCATGGAAATAACCAGGAAAATAGTGAACGCCTCAAACATTAAACCAACATCCAATTGGCGACACAGGTTTGGTCATTCCTATCCACAAACCAAATGTCGTCGCGGTGCTATGCCCTTTGCCTCTCCATTGCGCGGGTGCCCTCTCTTCCTAGTTCTTAACGTCCTTCTTGTACCCAGGAGCCCTCTCTCTTCAATTGGCTCCTAGCTTTTATCTTCGCTACCCAGTTTTCAACAATAGTAACAGCGCCAAAAGGCGAGTTCTTCTGCTCTAATAGGAACGATGAAACTTTAGCTAGACTGAAAACTTGGTCTGGCACCTTGGAAGCAAAGTTGTTAGTAAGTCTCTCAATCGCCTCTTTGACTCCTTGTGGTTTGCCGTCTGCTTGAAGACCGTGTGAAATAGTTGAGTAGAAATCTTCCTATCGGCAAGCTGGAAATGCACTTTCTTATCTACGCGGCTAGCCCGAATGAGTGCTTTAATCTAGATATTCGATATAATTGGTCGTCATAATAAGTACCCGACCTTCTTGAGACTACACACCGTCAAGAACATTCAGAAGACCGGATAGGGTGACTACAGAGGTTGACTTATCCTCTTGGTCTGTATCGGAGTCGTCCCTACGCCCCATCCCAGCGGCGTCCACGTCCTCTAGGAGAACGATATAGTGCGGCGGAAGCTCAGAAAATAGCTTCATCAGCTTACTATGAGAAATTTCTAACAGTTAAAGCTGGATTTTCCGGTTCCAGGAGGTCCATATAAAAGGAATCCCCGTTGGTAGGGGATATCGCGGTCGACGTACCACTTCTATATATCTTAATTTAGGAAGTCCTTCATATCTCTTAGAAGGCCATCTTAAACTTCCTTATCTATAGTGACCGTTAAGACGGGACGAACTGGCCTCAATCTAGTTTTCTTCCAGTCCCCTTTGCGGTGCTTAAAGACAGTGATCTTTTTATCAATGTTGTTAAGGTAATTTCCTCGGCACTCTTTAATAAGCTATTTAAGAATATTTAGATAAAGGCCAATAGAGGAGATATAGATGTCTTCTCGATAGTCTCTAACAGCGCAGTGAAGTATAAGCAGGTATCCCTTATACCAAAAAGGAAAAGATCTATCCTAAGGCGAAAATGTCAAAGGCTTTTTCTTTTCTCCGGTTTGGGTAGTTATTCGCTATAGAGATCTCACACGAGCAATTATTAAGTGAGCGTTGCGGACAAACGGTTGGTAGGCTATCCAGTCGACTAGCATGTCGTACGCTTCGTCATAATATAAGACATGAATTGTTAAAGCTACTGGCTGTCAGACTCATCTCATCACAAAGGAAGAATTACGAACTGAAGTAGCTTCTCACTAGCTCCCCAACATAGTGGACTGCATAGCGAGTGAAGAGGACAAGCATTCCTAAGGTGCAAAGGAGCCGAGTGTAGCTATCTAGGTTACCGACAAGAAGCTGCTATGCCGAGGCAAAGGCCATACTGAGACCGGGAAAGAGGACATCAATAAGAGACATCTGGGAAAGGCTCAGCCAGGAACCACCCTCGCTGATGGTGTTCATTGCGTATACGATAATCGAGTAGCATTCGTGGCTGTGATGATGATGAGGAGGAGAGAACGGTGTTTTGATGTGTTATCCAAGATTCGAGGACATTTGAACCAATCAGCGATGGTGAGGATTCCGAGGATAATAATCCTATTGGACTGATCGAGCACGAGTTTATAATATAGAGTTAGCTTCCTCGTCCTTCTATATTGCTAAGTACGCGGAAGCGACAGAGAAGTGAGCTAGTCGATAGCGAAGATGAGAGCAGTCCTCATCTCCCTCATTAAATGCGTCATACTAGTCTTCGACTTTTTTTTTTAATTGGAGACTGATATCTTAGTAAAATAACCTCATTCACCGTAAATTTCGCCTCATTCCTAAATTGAGGTTTCGGTAGCAGTTACATGAAAGGCGGGGCACCCGCATAGGCATCAAATCCAACCTTGGTCCAGACGCGGGAGTCTATTTAAAGTTCTTAGTTTAACTCCACGGGCTCGGTCCACGTGCAGAAAGCCATGCAATTCAAGACATGTCCAAAATTATACGAAATATATGTACATCAGCAAGCTCCAACTCGCTCAAGACCTCCAAGCGCGTAGACAATGTTTTAAAGTCCATGCTCCATAACAGGCCCACTATAGACCTTGCTCGCACGAGCATAGTAGTAGAAAAGACTGGCAATGACGGTGCCCAGAGTCCCAACAACGCTAAAGTTCATAGTTTGAACAGTCACCGCCCAAGCCGGTGGCCAGAAGCTAAAGAAGACAGCGACAGTCATGTACACCAAAGCCCAGGCGTTCATCAGGATACCCCAGATGCCTGGTACATGGAATGGGCCCCAAACGAGCTTTGCGCCGGCGGTGTTGATGATGGCAGAATGGCTGCCGCGAACAAAGCCGATCCCACCAGTACAACGACGCCACAGGAGAAGACCACCAACCACCATGTACGACAAGTAGAGACCAGATATCGACATGGAACAGAGATCGTTGAAGGCGACAGAGGAGCCAATGTTGATGAGCGCAAGGAGGCAGGCGATCACGGATGTCACCAAAACAGAGTAAAGGGGAACGGCAGAGCGATCGGTGACCTGTGATTTCACAATTAGCTCGTCAATCCTGAAGGGTGCTTGGGGTGTTAGAATGGCAACTTACCTGGCTCCACAGTCGCCAGCCGGGAATCCCACGGTCTCTCGCGAAGGACCAGAACTGCCGTGAAGTGGACGCTAGCATGCCGACTGAGGTGGTGGCGCCCATGGTAGTAACTATCGAACCCATCACCGCGGTTGCGGCGGTCGATCCTGTAGCTTCCAAAAAAATTGCCAGGAAGGGGTAGCCAGTAGGTGAGTTCAGGGACGATCCGAGATCCCCGCTGCAAAACAGCATAGCGATTAACATGCCGAAACCCAAGGATCCATTGATCAAGACACTGAGCATAATTGAAGTGGGGACTGCAACAGCGGCATTTGTGATCTCTTCAGACATCTAAAGATTAGGAGTTTGGATAAGTTCTAGCCGCGATATTTGAGCAGACCGAAGGAGATTGAGAGACGCACATGAACTGCGGCATCGCCACCGGCAAACGCAAACATGCACCCAACCATTCCGACAAAGAACGACAGTCCTTGAGACGGGAATTCCCCCATGTTGAGGAACTTGGTAAAGACCTCCTTGGGGGTCCCATGATCGGCCATATAAGTCAAGGGAATGAGAATCGCGAAGAAGCCAAGAATGTGGAGGATCAAGATAAATCCCTCAAATCGGGGAAGAACATTGCCGCCAACACTGTTGATGGAGACAGAAAATGCCACGACCGCCCAGAATATAAGAGTTGCGTGCCAGCTGTTGGGCTTATAATTACTGTTAGTGAGCACGACTAAGCCTTGAACCAAGGTGCCGACCAAATAGCATGAGGTTGCAAACGTGGCTTGCCACCCAATGACAGTAAGCCAGCCTGCGAGGTGTTTTAGCTCTAAGATTGTATGGCTCCAGAGACCTTCCGCTCACCTGTCAGGTAGCTCATCAATTTCATGCACGATCGCGGCGCTAGCATAGATGTCCAGTGGTACTGCCCCCCCGAGGTTGGTGCCCTATTGACTGGTTAGCCACAGCAGAGATGGTAGAAAGATAGATCATTTCGAACATTGATGACAACTCCGATAGAACTACAAAGGTAGCGGCGACACCAGCCCAAACGAAGAGGAATCCATACACAGCACCAGCTGGACCTCCACTGTGTACTGTTAGCACTGGGGGGGTGATCATTCATCCGCATCTCTTACTTCTGGTATGCTTGCAAGAATAGCCTATACCACAGTAGTCGGCAAACGTTCTCTCGGAAATGATCGATTCATCGTCAGAAGCACTCACACGACAATTCCCTCCCAGGTAATCAGGATCGTACAGCTGAAACCCAGCATTGACATCAAGCCAAAATTGCGCTGATACGGTCAGTCTATATTGGACATGCATTCTTAAACAGCAATTACCTTCAGTATGGGGCGTTTTCCCATGCGCGCGAGATTGGCATCATCAAGCTCCTTTCTCGATATTTCACCAAACTCCTCTGCTCCCGCCGAAGACAGTTGCTTCGAAGATTGAGACCGCATTATGGGTATGTAGTTGTCGACAAGCAAAACGCAAAATCAAACAGATCATGAGAGAAGAATCACGTTGTCCCATAGAAGTTCAAGGGGCAAAAGAGTGGAAACTAGCGCAATCGACTCTGAAAATACTTGCATGTGGTTGGGGGACACTGATAGGCGCTAATGCAAGGGCAGGGGCTACACGGGGGGCCATGGAACTGGGGAACTATGGCATTGCCATGAAGGATGTGGCAGATCATCGACATTACTATTTTCTGTCGCTCCGATGCAGCCTACAAGGACGAGAACAAAATCCATTTTCTATCGGGAGCACTGGTCACGCGCGGAAGCCGAACGGTAATTCGGTAAATCCCCGGGCAACAGAGTGGAAACCGATTAATTAATTGTGTTTTGTTTTTGGCCGTGTTGCCGAATACTATGTTGCTTTAGATTCGAGTGGATCATCGGGATATACATTCCGTGCCCTGCCGAGAATAGTTATTCGCTGAAGTCTATAACGGGAAAATCCCAATTTCCGGAACAGAAGTGGATCGAAGGATGTCCAGACCCAGTTTTTGAAGCGTGTATTCAATTTGACAACCCTTCAGTGACTGTCCACGTCCGCGTCTCCAGAATTATGTTAGAGCGACTGTACTGGCTTTCGGTATCCTCGTCCGGGGCCGACGTCACCATGGTCTGATTAGTCCCTTCGTGGAGTGCCGAGACTAATTCGTGAGTCTCACTGTGAGCATCTGCAGTGCGACGGAAGGTCTTGAATGTGCTCATGCCATATGTCTTATATTTGCTGCCGTGATGGTGGGAGTTCATCATACCCAAGCCCATTCCCGATGACTGGAGATTATCCAAGAAGGGCTTGAACTGGGGGGAGCAGGCTGTGACAATACTCACACATTGAGCCACTTGCGTAGAAACTGCGACGGTCCAGGCCTCATAGGTGAAATCGCCCGAGGAAGTTTCACTGGCGTATACTAGTTGGAGAATTATCGAGATAATTACGCTGAACGGACCATCTTTGTTAGTAGAGGTTCTCAATGCAGAGCGTGGTGTTGACACGTACATGATTCGGATCAAGAACACACTGGACAAACTGGCCTTTCTGCTAAAATCGGTCTGGATCCGAACGATAACCAGCAGCGCTTGGCCTATAATCCCGCCTTCTGACAATATATTTGTGACTCCGAGATATCTCCACCACGCACTCTGGTCCGCGGTCAGCGATTGCTATATTCCTCAGAATGGACCTATCACTCACTCGGTCGAAACAAGTCCCCTTTACATAATTCCATGTCTGTGGCACCTGACACTGGAACGCAGCCGTGAATATGCTGGTAATAGTCCACAGCCCAATAAATATTCCCAACACGAGTGCAAAGCGGCGATCCAAGGGTGCGGGAGTCAAGTTGCGAATGAAAATTAAAACCGAGAGTTTCGAGAAGCAAATGCTGGCGATGAATAGAAAGGTAGCGGAGTATTCAGCCTTGATTTAATCTTTTAGCAACTGTTTCCCCCCAAAAAAGGTATCCCTCATCCATACTTTCATTACACTTTCCACTTGGAGAACGGACAGCATGTGAAGGTGCTGTCCAAGTCCATTCTTCGTAGCCATCGAGATCGCAATGGACTGCGCAATGCAGAAGACCAGAGAAGCAGTCGCAAGGCCATCGTCAAATGTCCACTTCCGAAAAATAAAATATTTCGTCCCGAGACGGGTCAAGACGCTTAGAGTAGCCGTCACCAGCAGGAACCAGGTCAAGACATTGACCGTAGGAGTCCATGTGTTTTTCAACTCTGGACTCATGACGACCGTAAGGGAAAAGGATGCATAAGGAGGCTCGAGTCCATGCGGACCTGGGCTAGGCAGTTATTGCAGGTGTACGGAGTCAAACAGCCCCATTTTTGTGGGACCCGCAGGATCCGACAACGCCCTGTAGATCTTGATCCTGTAAAAAAGTCAATCCTCTGGTTGAACTCATCAATTGAAAAGGCAAGTGATATTGCAGGGGTGATATCAAGGGGTCGGTCTGTGTTGGACGGAGCTGTCTGGTCTAGGAATGTTAAACCTTTGATCGCCACGAGGCCACGTTGTCGCTCTCCACTATCAACTCCATGCATGGGCAAACTAGTTTCGGCTCAATCCGGAATTCCTAGTCAATCCCTTTTCAAGGTCTATCCAGTCTCTGTTTCATTTCATAACCCCCTGTCACATGTCATATGCAATCTGTCCGGTACGGTTGTCTTGGCTCTGGTCCAAGTCCTCAATAGGGGAAATTTGGGTGATGTCTGGAAGGTATCAGAACAACTGTTATGTTAGTCTGGTCTTTTCATTGTGAAATAAAGGCGGACAAAGCTCACATTTGATCGTCTGAAATTATGCCAATTAATTTCCAATTTATTTAAGTCAGGCTTTCACTCGATCTTCAGCCTCATCTGCGTCACAATCCCCTTCATCTTCATTCCAACTGTCGTCGACCCATTCATCTTGATCAAATGTTCCTGAGGGCTTACCCTCCCCGTCGATGCTCTAAAAAAAGGCGTGATTGAAATCTCTTGCTATGTATGGTGGTTGGCACTTGTGGCGACTACATTTCAAGGGTGCAACAACTCAATATGTACAACCCTCTGGTAAGGATGTCCCACAGGGTGCCCACGGTGTCCGAAGCCGACGATCAAACAACAGATCTTCACTGTCGGGTTGAAGAAGGTGTGGTAAGCGCGATATGTGGTCTTTCACTTGGTCTTTCATCGAACAGTGGATACAGCCAGGGATTGCTGAGACTCAACCACATTGATGGAAGATCCCCCATAGGAGTCGCAGGTAGCTTACCACCAGTTTAAAAATAAAATCGGGGGTTTTTTTTGAGAACGGCAGTAGAATAGTCAAGTTATAGACTTCAAGTGTCGGTCGTGTTGTGGCTGTCATACGTGCAATTGGAAATTGACCACCCAGGTTGTGCAGAACTGCAAACGTGGCAAAAGCATCAACAGCTTCAGCTAAAGCTAACGGTGTATCTAGGCAAGTTGACGACCCGGTCTTTTAGTTGACGGTAAAACGTGTTTCGAGGGTTCGAGACATGGCTCATGGAGCGAGAAGTTTGGCGTATTGGATTCATTTAACAATGAATTTCCAGCCTTCAGATTGAGCAAGTTGAGCATGCAACCATCGAGCCATCTTTCCATCCATTAGCCTAACGTCGATAGTATTGCGGTAGGGGAGAATAACTGGATCGATGAGGGTAGCCAATCGAGCGAGCACACCCGCTTAGAAAGTCAGAACCTTGAAATCCTCTACGTGCGATGGCTCAAAAGGAGTAACGGGGTATGTATACGGGCCGAGGCTGATGTGGTTTAGGCTTACACGAAAACATCAGTAGGCACACACTTTAAAAGACCACCTACCACAATGACCTACCCAAATTTGAATCGATTCAATTGATCAAGAGGTTTAGATAGAAGACATACCACTGTCAGGTAAACAGGAGGAGCTTATGTGAGACCAACAGCTTATATGCATCGAGACCTACGGAGACTGCAGATGATATAGTCTATATGGATGTACCTATGCGTAGAGGGATAAGGAAAACATGAGGTTGACGAACAGAAATTGAAATTGAAATTGTTGAGAGCTTCTTATCATCAAAGGCAGGTCTATCCTTGCGACTTTTTGTGGTCCTTTTTTTGTTCCTTGACCTGTCTCGTCACTTCTCTTGCATCCTTCTCACACTTCCACAACTCCTCAAATTTTATTCTTCAACATAACTATTGATCTCACTCAGCGCAAGTTTGAACACAATGAGTTCCCCCGTGAAAGCTGACGGCAAGCTCTCTGAGCTCAAGACGGCGGATGTTAGACTGCTGGTTTATGGCACCCTGTGCCACGATGGCAAGGTTCGGATCCAGACTTACCTTTTGCCTTCCTCGTCCAGTGCAATCTCTAACACTGTTCATCACATAGATCGACTTTGAGAAGCTCGCAGGTCTCGCTGGCATGAAGAAAACTTCTGCCAACACCAACTATTGGCGTGCTAAGCACCACCTTCAACAGATTCTTGATGGAAACCCGGAGTCTTCCACCCAGACCGTCCGTCCCAAGAGTGAGGACGCTGACGCTGGTTCAACTAAGAAGCCCCGCCCTGGTGCCAAGCGCGGTGCGGCCAAAGACGCGTCTATCAAGAAGGAGCCTTCCAAGCGTCGCAAGACCGTCACCAAGGCCGCCTCTGAGCCCGTCAAGTCCGCCCACGCCGAGGAGACCGATGACACCACCCCGGCGGACATCGCTGATCAGACTAAGTAGATGTTTCTCTACTTCAGTCGTGACACCGACATGCGCTAAACCTTCCGAGGGAAGTGAAAGGAGTGAAACAAACGGGGGAATTGAATCTGGGATTGGTTTACTGCAGCGTCAATGTGCTTCAACATGGAAAGGATGGCTTGACCTTACCGTTAGCCTTTTACTTTGAATCTTTGAAATGAACAACATCTCACAAACTGACACAGTTTCATAGCTCATACTAGGCATAAACAAACACCGCTCACACAATAGGCTAGTCACACATGTTCCGGCCGTCATCAAGTCTCAGTGGCCCGCTCTACGTAATCTGATCGACGCCGAGCTAGATGGGTTCGGTCCATTGAGGGTCGTGTTGTATGTCGCATTGCTACCCAGCACTTCCAGAACCACTGTACTATTACCTTCGCGATACTCGCTCGTCGGGGTTCCATGAGTGCGGTAACCGCCGTGCTGCTTCAAATGTTTCTTGCCCGTCGCAATGTCCGTTCTCGTAACCACTCTCTCAAATATCTCCAGCGCAGTCAATGGCTGGTAGAAGGGTACTTCGTGACCGGACTCGTAGATTCGCACAAAGCTAAACAAGTCACTTTGACGAACCTGTCCATGAACCACGCCATCTGAGGTGGTGATATTCACAAAGCCAGCGTGTTCGTACCCGCTGGCATTGATCTCTTCGGCGATGACTTGTCCACCGAGCCAATTGCAGTTGAAGTCGCTAGAATTTGAATCAGCACAGTCTAGTAGACATCTCATAGCATGGAAGGACTCACGCATCTCCGAAATACAGCAAAACCTGTACTCCAGCATCCAGCAACTTCTTCACACTCTCTATCGTGCCGGGTTCGCGGTCATCGTCACCTGTGCTTCCAAAGGCATTGCTCACAGTCCCAGAGGACTCCGAGAAATTTTGGTATGCTCCAATGGCAGCTTGGACTTTAGGGCTGTTGAGATAATTGACATAGAATTCGTACGGGAATGGATCTGGTGTTAACTCTCGCATATCATACTCGTCGCGCCCGGAGTAATTGTCAAATAGAGACTCAACCTTTGAAGCGCAGAAGTTGTCCGCCGCAGAGCAAATATCATTCCGACCAGTCGCGTAACATTCCAGAGTCTGGTCGACGCAGTTTCCCTCTCCATAAAGGTTGTTATACCATTCGGCTTGGACGGACTCGTTGTATGGGTTAAAGTCGTATGTATTTCCAGGGAAGATGGAAAAGTTGTAGTACGCCTGGTACTGAATCAACGGATCGAACCAGCCATTTCCAATGAGGACGTTCTCAATGTTGATCTGAATCGAGCCAATAGGCTTCTTGGCGTTCTGCTTTGCAAAGTACTCTGCTCCGACGTTAGTGCATATCGTATCCAGATACGCGTTTGGGATCCTTACCGTTGAAAACTGGACCATAGTGTCCTCCGTAGCTCTCAGTGGCGAAGTTGACACCATTTTGCGCGTACTGGGGGAAAGCCCCCATGAACCCTTGGAGTGTCTTCCACATGTTTGGGGCCGCATTAGAAGTTGTGTTAGGAACTAGGGCAATGTCTGGTTTGGAGTATGTGCCACATGTTCCAAGATCCTGAGCGTAGTCGGGGCACTCCTCGCTGGGCAACTGGATGATGTTGCCATCGCTATCCTGGTATGCTGGAATAGGGATTGTGTATGATAATCCAACCGTGGCAGGCTGGTCGACGAAGAGCTGGCGACAGTTGAGCTAAAGTCATGACAAGCAAAGAAATGCAATCTTACCATATTGCTCACATTGCTCCAAGAATGAGGGTTGTTAAATACGTTTCCGTCATGATCAACTCCGCAGGGCCCAAGTTCCTGGAATAACCCGATCATAGACGATGATCCTGGCCCTCCGTTTATCCAGATCGTAATTGGTGCCTTCTTGATTGTCAGTACACGTTGTAAGTAGCCAAATGTTGCCCAGACATACATCTTTAGGGTCTCCGTTTCTAGTCTCAAAGAACCACCTGTGCTAGTCAGTCGCTGCTTAGATCTCTTCTCCACTCAAAATACTCACCAGAAAATATGCTCATCTTCACCAACATCAGCGTAACCAGAATAACTCTTCACATTGGGATCCTGTTCACAAATCCCAGCAGGTACTTCCTTATATCGCACATCGATGCCGGCATGTCCTTTCTTGGTGATGAGGCCACTGGGAGTGGGCACGAATTGTGCCGTGGCATAGTGCGCCAGCGCTGCCAACAAAAGCTTAGTACACAACACCATTTTGAAGATCTCCAAAAAAAACCGGGATTTCAGGTCGTGTCTTATAGCATTCAATCCAGATAACCCCGCTCTGCTGGGGTTATCCACTTTGTGTTGCAAGAATCAAAATTGAGAAGGCCAAAACCCACTATGATCGCTCATTTGGGTCTTTTTTGCTGTAAATCCGACGGATCTCCGACTGGATGTCTCCTGAGTCCCGGAAATGACTGAATTTCTTATCAGTCAACCTATTTAGTGCTCGGGGTTTGAAGAATCAGATTTTCGGATTCGGTACTTTCGCCTTGCGCTCCTTGCATGGCACAATTTCTACAGCATACGTTCTGTTCTATCTTGCCCCTGCACAGTGTACACTTTGGAAACTGTGGACCTGTCATAATTCCTTATGCATATTAATGTAAGTCACCTTGCTATTATAGAGTGGATGTTGTGCAAAACCCCCCTTTGAACAAAAATTAAACCCTCTTGAGTGGCAGACCAGAGACTTTGCCCGCATCAACATCCACAAAGTACCAGAAGTGCGCTTCAATGTCTGTTAGGAACGGCAAACCAGTTCCAGTGTTTCCATCAAAGGAAACTTCCCCGTTGATAACACTGATGTCAGAAGTATTGACAGTGGAATTGTTAGGGGATGTGATCCAATACTCAGGGCTGACGTGAAAATAGCCCATAGACAACAGCGGCAGCTTAGGGACTGGATCATTGGTATGGGTGAAGCGGAAGTTGTTGCCCTGTGCAGTGATATAATTGGCCAAAGCCACGTTCGCCACACGAGGCGAGGCATGAGCGTACATCTTAGCGGACGGGTAGCCCTTGCTACGGAGATCAGTGGCAGCAAGGGTTGCGATAGCGGCACCCAGGCTGTGGCCCACCACGACAAGCTCGTAGTCAGGGTTCTGGGCGAATGCGTCTTTCAGTTCCCTGGTGATGTTGTCACGGACTAACTTCCAGGAGCTCCAAAAGCCGAGTTCAGCGAGACACCCATCACAGAGACCAGGGTTTGTGAATATGAAAATAGCATCACTGAAAAAGTTGCGGACTGATACGGACCCCCGGAATGCGAGAACAACTGCTGAATTAGAGTGGTCTACTGCAATGTAGCCAGCGGTATCTGTTATGGTGGAGCTGTCCGTGGGTAAGTGTTTCGTCTGGGTTGTTGCATTCTAAGGTTATGGGTTTTGCTTACTCGGAGAAGTCATAGAATACAGTCGTACCTATTTCCTCGATTTTGGGGCAGTTGCCTTTCGAACAACTAAGCCTGCCACCCACTTGAGCTGTGTAATCCTCTTCGTAGTATGTTGCAGCGGCATACTGGACCCAGAAGTTGAACTGATTCAGTTCGCTGGCTGAGACATCTAACCATGTGTGAGTAATGTATTCAAGGTGCATTGGGCAACGTGTGATGTACCTCGACCGTGTAGCTTCCCAGGGAGGGCATGACCCAATGAAGCTACTGCGGATAAAGCTGTGAAAAAAGAGAAACGCATGATGGCTCGGGGTCAATGGCAGAATCTGGTGGAGACCGGAGAGAGCACAATCGGGTTAAACTCCCAGCTATAAATGTTCAACTGAACATTACAGTTCCATTCAGGTCCGGGATACAGGTTCCTGAAAGGGGGTTTCACACATGGGCAAGTCAATTATGGAGCTGAAGGAACCACGGCATGCAATAAGATCGATGTTATATGATGTTGCATGTGAGGAGGGGATTCGGTCCAGTTCAGCCCACGGGGAACACTCCTGATTTACACAATGATCGTCCGAATACAGATCACATCCAGGGCCCTGGTACTGGAACATGGACACTGCTCCAATCGGTCTTGGCGATACACCGCAATGCATTGGTGGAGCCGGTGAATTGTCCCATTCCGGTCAGCTCGTTGAATACGCAAAGTAGAATCCGAGGTAGACTGCACTCCGAATACGGATTTTATTGGGAGTGGAGTGACGTATGGAGCATGTGGTTTAAGATCACATAAGAAAAAGAAAAAGCTTGACTACTCGCCTCGAACCTGGCGAAATTTTTTGGCTATGCCCGGTCCTTGCCAAGGGGTGCATGGAGGGCTCTGTTGGCACGCATGGGGTTGGAATCTCTTGGCGTTCCACGGAGCCTTGAGGGATTGCTCGCGTGATTGTGTTTGGCGGTCTGAAATGGCATAATTCAAATTTACTCCGTTGCTGTCAGAACACTAGAGCTCATGGCTCGAACAAATTAAATTCAACTCTGACTTGTAAATTTCACATTAAGCAGCCGTCCTTGATGCTAGAGTGCAAATCACTCATCCCCACTCGCACGCGGCGATAGCCAGTACGGTGGGTCTTTTTGGCAGCATTTTCCTTGGGTTCGGGGCTTCCCATGCTGGAAGACCCGGCCTGCGCATAGCTCAAAGGAGTGGCTTTGGCAGAGGCAGTAGTAGGTTCAAGGGCATAAACCTCAACCATCCATTCATACCAGACCTTGCGGTCATCGGTTTGACGGTACATCGTGGCGACAATCTCACCATTTTCGGGAACACTAAGAGGGGTCTGGAGACAAATGTCAATGTGATGGGAAAACAGCGAGAGGTGAAATTGGACATTTTTTAAAACTTACCTTCAGGGGGAAGTAGATAGGGAACCAGCTAATCATGTTTGCGCTCTTGGCATCCATGGTCACCGGGTTGGTAGACAACTCCACATCACCGTAGAGCACCGTTTCAAAGTATCCAGCCAGACCGTGGCACACACCTCGGTTCTGGGAAGGGAAGGCCAAACGTGTTTGGCGCACATTGTGAGCGTTCGAGATAGTCGACTGCATCGGGGACTGGGGAGGAATGTGTCGGTTCGGGTGAGAGAAAGACCAGGCGGTCTGCACGAAGGGAGTGGGAAATTCAGTAGTAGAGAATGACACCGACGGGGTGGATGCCCGGTTTCCACTGTTGAGATTGGAACTTTCGCCACAGGCAGGCGTATCCGTGGTGGAGAGGAAGTCAATGGCGTGAAGCATCACGACGTATGGGGTCTCTGGGGCAGCCGGGTTGGACACCGTCTGGTGCACAACATCGGCATGCAATTTGGGAGCTGAAACCGGAGTGAAATGTGCCGAATATGAGGCTGGAATGGAAATGCCGTGGACGGGGTTGATCACGTCGTTCACACCATCCAGACATTCTGGGGAAAGCTCATTATCCGCAAAGGAACCCAACAGCTCCGAGACAATGATATCAACATGGGTATGGCACATAGCCAAACCCTCAAGGGGTTCTCCCACGGGGCTGGTAGTAGCCGTAGTTGGCAGCTGTCGGACCAGAGGCCCTTTCCAGCTTCGCATGTCTGAATGGACCAGTGTGACCTTACCATCCCAGATTGTGTCGTTGTGTCGTTGCAGCAACACAAACGCGTTCTGGTTCTTCTCCACGGCCCAGAGATCAATTTCGACTCCAGCGTCTGCGCTAGCCTTCAGTGCGCGAGTGACTAGTGGGCCGCGACCAGCTCCCACAACTGCAAGAATGACTTTTCCGTCCGGGTGGGACGTGGCCTTCTTCTGATCCGCCCAGTCTTTCAATGCCTTGCAGATTGCCTTTTCATACCACTCGTATTTGATGGGGTCCTTTTCAAATACCTCATACGTGATACTCTCTAAATTGACTGTCAATGGCTGTAGAGGTGCCTGCAAATAGTCCTGGTATCCAACACCGAACCTTTCAATCGCTGTCCGCGGGGGCTGGCGCTGCTGCAGGTTGCGAATATACGAGAGATGTGGAGTAGGGTCGTAGTGCTTCTTGCTAGCCTGTGACAGACTTGGATAGTCAGATCCAGATAGCGAAGCCTGGTTAGTATCAGGGTCTTCGATATTTTCAAGTCCAGGAATAGGACCAACGCCACAAAGGATAATCCAAGGCGTAGTTCTAAGACGCATCATCTTCGCAATCAAACCTTGGTGTGATTTGGACAAGACTGGGTATCCTTTCTGGTTCTTGATGAACGTCGAGCCATCAATGGTCAGCAAACGCACTGGTTCTGAATGCCATCGGGATTGCACAAACAGAGACGGCAGTTGCTTCGGCAGAGACAGAGCTGTGGTTCAGGTTAGCTTCAGTTCATGATATTGTAACAATGGCTACGGGTCATTGGAAGGAGGGGTTGGCTCATACCAACGAGCAGTCTTGTGTGGTATTTACAAGTCTTTCTGATTGAATCCCAAGCATCCCAACTTCCAAACGCATCAACATTGAGTGGCTCTCCCTCATCTGGTGCCAGGTATTCTGCCCGAGCAAGCGGGGCCAAGTCGCCCATTGTATCAACCTCAACCTCTGGATTGTCAACCATTTGTTGCCAAATGTGAAATTGAATGTAGGGGCCGAGGTCCAAGGCATCTTGAATCGCACGCGCATAGTAGATGACACCCTCGGAGTGCAAGGTACCATGATGCAACTTCGGGCCAGGAATTAAAAGATATCCGATTCCGCAAAACGCAGCATACGCAACTTCCAACATCAGAACTTGCCGGGATAAGTCGGCGATCAAGGGGTCAGGTGAGCATAGATCAATCCAACTACTGGTCACACCAACCAATTGACTGGTAGCATCATTCGGGGTGAGATACGAGTCTGCATTCGAGAGCGGCGGAACCACCACAGGCCTAGTATTCTGGGTAGTAGCCATGGTTCCAACAACATCGTAAGTTGGGGACTCAAGATTGGCCAAATAAGAGGACAGTAGGCCAAGAACCCGCGAGTGGAAATGAGAAGTCGTGATGGGAACGGTCATCATGTCATACTATCAAATCAAGTTAGCATTTGTGATAGTTTTGATACAGGTTAGAAAAAGAACCGACATTACTCTCATGTACGTTTTGAATGACACGAGAGGTCACGGTAACCACCCGGTTGTGCTCATAGTGCCCGATGCAGAAAGCTGGGCCCGGATCCTCTGAAGGATTATAGCTCTCCATATTGACAGAGAAGTCTAGCGCAATGGTGGGGTGATCTGGAACTAGGGATGTGGATGAAGGCTCGCAATGAGCTATGAAGGAGCTGAAAAACCGAGGATCAGGCAGCCCTATCCAGCAAGCCACGCGCACCAGACGAATTGGCACAGAAAAGTCTAGACAAAAACACACAGAGCGTCAACAAGCTCGAAGATTATCGATCCCTTTGTGGAGAGCGGCAGAATAGACTGGCGGTGAGTCTGATAGGCAGCTGTGGCGCTCGGCAGACCTGCCTATCTCATATTTTTTTTATTCGGCATCTCAGCTTCTTCTCTCCGCCGAGTTTGCTCTTCAACACTCTCCCCCCTTTCACCATCATAATGGCCGATAACCGATCTGACTCCGAAGGTGGCGCGCGCGCGAAGCGCCAGAAGATGGACGCTGGGGACCCAAAGAACAACCCCTACCTCGCTCACATGTATGAGAACAGCAATGGCTCCTCCGACAACGCGGCCCTGGCCAAGTTCAAGCGACACCAGACCACCGCAGCGATGGCGAAAAAGGTCGAAGATGGCGATATCAACCCTTTTAGTGGCCGACCCTTTTCCAGCAAATACTTCTCAATCCTGAAGACCCGTCGCGATCTGCCTGTCCACACGCAACGGTGAGTGCTGCCCGACAGCCAATCTAGAAGAAAAAAAGTACTGACCATAATTCTCAGTGACGAGTTCCTGCAACTCTACCAGCAGTCCCAGATCCTTGTCTTCGTTGGTGAGACTGGTTCCGGAAAGACTACGCAGATCCCGCAATTCGTCCTCTACGATGATCTCCCCCAAACTCAGGGCAAAATGGTCGCTTGTACGCAGCCCCGACGAGTGGCTGCCATGTCTGTCGCCCAACGTGTGGCGGCTGAGATGGATGTCAAACTTGGAGAGGAAGTTGGTTACAGTATCCGTTTCGAAGATATGACTGGCCCAAAGACCATCATGAAGTACATGACTGATGGTATGCTTCTTCGCGAGGCTATGAACGACCCGAACATGTCGCGTTACAGCACAATCATTCTTGACGAGGCTCACGAGAGAACTATGGCGACAGATATCCTGATGGGTCTTTTAAAGGAAGTTGTGGGGCGTCGGCCTGACTTGAAGATTATTATCATGTCAGCTACTCTGGATGCCCAAAAGTTCCAGCGCTACTTCATGGATGCACCCCTTCTCGCAGTTCCCGGTCGTACTCACCCTGTCGAGATCTTCTACACCCCCGAACCTGAGCAAGACTACGTTGAGGCCGCAGTTCGGACTGTGCTGCAAATCCACGCTACCGAAGCTGAGGGAGATATTCTTCTTTTCTTGACTGGTGAGGAAGAGATTGAGGATGCTTCGCGGAAAATCGCGCTCGAAGGAGATGAGATGGTTCGCGAGGCCGACGCTGGTCCTCTCAAGGTCTATCCTTTGTACGGTAGTCTTCCTCCTCACATGCAACAGCGCATCTTTGACCCTGCACCGCCTCCTCGCCGCCCAGGCGGCCGCCCCGGGCGCAAAGTCATCGTATCGACCAACATTGCCGAAACATCTCTTACCATCGACGGTATCGTTTACGTCGTGGATCCCGGATTCTCCAAGCAAAAGATTTACAACCCCCGCATTCGTGTCGAATCCCTTCTCGTTTCCCCCATTTCGAAGGCCTCCGCGCAGCAGCGAGCTGGTCGTGCCGGTCGTACACGTCCCGGAAAGTGTTTCCGCCTCTACACCGAGGGCGCATTCAAGAAGGAATTGATCGAATCAACTTACCCTGAGATCCTCCGGTCGAACTTGTCATCAACAGTGCTCGAACTCAAGAAGCTTGGTGTCGATGATCTGGTCCACTTCGATTTAATGGACCCGCCTGCCCCAGAGACCCTGATGAGAGCGTTGGAGGAACTGAACTATTTGGCCTGCCTGGACGATGATGGAAATCTTACTCAGCTGGGTCGTCTGGCCTCCGATTTCCCTCTCGACCCCGCCCTCGCTGTTATGTTGATCAGCTCCCCCGAATTCTACTGCTCTAATGAAATCCTTTCCATCACCGCCCTTTTGTCTGTGCCGCAGGTCTTCGTGCGTCCTGCTGCCCAGCGCAAGCGTGCTGACGAGATGAAGAACCTGTTTGCCCACCCCGACGGAGACCACTTGACAATGCTGAATGTCTACCACGCATACCGAAGCGATGAAGCCCAGGAAAACCCCAAGCAGTGGTGCCATGACCACTTCCTCTCCCAGCGTGCTCTCCAGTCCGCTGATAACGTCCGTTCCCAGCTGCTCCGCATCATGGAACGCCAGGATCTCGAGATGATCTCCACTTCCTTCGAGGACAAGAAGTACTACGAGAACATCCGCCGTGCCCTATGTGCCGGTTTCTTCATGCAAGTCGCGAAGAAAGATACAGGCGGCAAGAGCCAATACCTTACCATCAAGGACAACCAGAATGTGCTCCTGCACCCCTCCACCGTCTTGGCTCACGAGGCCGAGTGGGTCTTGTATAACGAATTTGTTCTAACAACCAAGAACTACATTCGTACTGTCACTGCAGTCAAGCCAGAATGGCTTCTAGTATGTTCCCCACCCCCCTCTTATATTTGCATTTTACTTATCGCTTTCCAGGATATTGCCCCTACATACTATGATATCAACAGCTTTCCTAAGGGTGACATTCGCTCTGCTCTTATTCGGGCCGCTGATCGTCTCGCTCGCAAGGAGAAGATGCGCGCTGAAAAGCGTCGATAGACCCTTTGTTTCTGTTCCGCCTAAATTTTACGCTTGATACGCTTGTTTGTCGCACTGCTTCCTTCTCATCACGATGTCCATATTTGAATAGAATTTTTGCTTTCCTGTTGTGCCATACCCTACTTGCTCCCCGGATAATCCTTTTCGGCCGGTGCCTTCGACTGATCTATCGAGACTTGCCAGATTCGAGAGGATGTATCAAAATTTGGATAAAGTATCCAGCCATTGTTCAATATACGCGGGAGGCTCGGGCCCGGCCTATTAGAACGAAACTATGGAGCTTTCTTCAAAAATCGATTGTATTCACAGCCAACGCCTTGGGCTGGTTAACACTCGGGGCCATTTGCCCAAGGTGTTCTGTATGCTCTATTGGAAACAAATGTGTCGTTTTAATATACAAAAAAGTTCTCCGTCTTCAATCGGGGAAAAGTCAGTCGATGTCCATGCTTTGAGAGACAATTTAAATCCACATCTCAGCTGGCAAATAATGCGGGCTCAACAATAGGAGCTGTGCTTTCCACTGAGGGTTCATTTGCATTGGGTTCTCGCCGTCTGTTTCGCTTGGCTGATTTCCGTGGGGATGAAGATGAGGTTTGGGATCTGGCGAGGCTGATCCTAGTCGAAGTTCTGGTGAAATTGCGACTCACTGGGGGATTTTGGGGTTGTGGGTTCTTAAGAGGTATGATGTGTTCGGCGGGCGGAGGGAGGGGTTCTTCAGTAGTGGACGTGCGGGAGGAATTTCCCATGGAGGAGTCTGAGATATGGTGTTTGCGAAGCTCATAGATAAGTTCGCGGAGTTGGGCAACCTCGCCCTTAAGCGTAGAAATGTCTTCATTTACAGTGTTGCCAGCGGGTATCTTTCCCTCGCCGATGGCAGGCGTCCGGCCACGACCAAGGGCAGTAAAAAGAGCATTGTTTGCATGCTGATCGGCCAGTTTGGCATTGCGTCGGGCGAAGGTTTCCTCTGGCGGCACCTCAATTTGGCTCAGGTATTCCCCGAAAGTGTTTCCAAAGTCATAGCACTTCTGCCACAAGGGGCGGTCAATGTTCTCTTTTGGTGTTTGCTTAGCAGCATTAGACCATCGCTTGGTATCAGCATGGACAAAAGGTCCCGAATCTGACTGCCGTAATAAAAGTCTTGGATCAAAGCCGCTGTGCACAGCGGCTCTCACCAATGCATCCGATGCATCTAGTCGGTCACAGGAGTCGCAGAGGCCCACCATTCGCCCAAGCAATCTTTCAACTGAATCGAGACGGTGGTCCGTTGATGACAAGAGATAGGTGACAGCTCGCTTCAAAACGTTCGCACCCTTGTCCCAGTCCCTCCGTAGACTGTAGAACCGGAGATAGGTGAACAGGGTTTCCCAACTATCAAAGAAACCCCCACCTCGTGCAGCTTGGAGCCAAGCATCGGCTCGATCGGGCTGGTCGAAACGCAATGCGGCCCCTATCAAGGCGGCATAGATCACAGGATTGCTGCTGTTTAAAGATGGAACAATGAGATCGATACCATTGACCGTTCGGTGCTTATAAACTCCCCTGCTCCCAAGGTTGACGGAGTAGCCCTCTCCGCCAAGCATTTTCAAGAACAAATCAAAATCCTTGAGATTTTTCGATTTTCTGAAGAAGGTGATGATGGTGATCACCAGCGAAGGGTTTAGGAAGAACCGGTTCGGCAATAATGTCCGCAGGAGCAGCTCGACCAGGTCATTTTGTCGGGTCTGTCCAAATGCCATGATCATGAGCCGGAAAGCTGTTGGTCGATCCGGGTCCCTCGAGCTCAAGATGTTATTGGATATCCGCATAAGCAGTTCCTGGAGAGACATCTGCTGGCTCGTATATATGTGGATGTCATTAGTGAGTTCGGCATCAAGGGTCTCGCGCTCTCTTTGCATCTCGCCCCATTGACTCGCGGCGTAGTCTTGCGTAATATCACTGTATGTGGCGTTTCTGTTCGTTTTTAAGGTGTTCATTCGATAGCGAATATGATTCAGCTCCTCCAAGAGCTGCGACACGTTTACCTGGGGAGTCTCGAAATCCGCCGCGTAGTTCATTGAAACGCCCGAGTAACGATGTGCGATGGCTGGTCGTAACAAAATCCGGATAGCGAATTGCCTTAAAGCAAGCTTCTGAATGGCCTTCAGACGAAGATCATCCTCCAAGACCCAGCTGGGTAATGTCTCCTGCGGAAGGAAGATCTCGCTCTCATCCTCCTCATCAATCTTATGTTCGTTCTCCTCAGCTGGCTGATTTTCCACAGTCCGAGCCCCTACCACGTTCAACCGTGTTCTTTGTGTGTGGAAGGCTCTTATTCTGTTGAAGCTGGCCGGGGATTGAATTCCAAGAGGGAGGCGACCAACGGTGCCGAATCCCCTCTCTTGTCTTGGACGATTGATTCCTCGGGTTTCTCTTCGCGATTGTAATGACGCCAAAATGCGCTCCTCTTCATCCACCAACTCGCTCACTTCGGCCTTGACCGCAGCAATCTTTTCGTCCCAGTCATGGCGGCGGCGATCCTTCACGCTCGCATCGGCAATAGCAGCGGCGGCGAAAATGCTGCCGTAAAGTGCAGTAACGGAGTTTCCAATTCGAAGCCGTCTCTTACTAGAGTTTGCTGCCCGCGAAGTAACCCCGTTGGCAGTAGTACTCAAACATCCGACACAGCGACAGGACGACTGCTTCGAAACAGCACGGGACCACAAAACCTGCATTCTCAGGGCATTGCTATCGAGCAATCTGATCCAAAAGGTATTAATGCAAACTATTAATCAATTGGACTCCTCCCGGAGCCCCGTCGCGAGTAGGGGTATGGAAATAGATGGGGTAACATGCAATGGAGCAAAAAAGGTTGCAATTCCGCAAATGCTCGGGTCCTCTGTGCAAACACTGCAAACGAGCTAAGACCCCATGTCTCCTTGAATGTCTTTCCAAGGCCTATAAATTTATATGCTATTTTGTTTTCTTGAACGAATCTATATTGTCACGATATACAATGGTCACTCAGCTGTTCGGCTTCGCTGCTGGCCTGCTTGCGTTGAGCGGGCTTGCCAATGCCCATGGCTCGCATTCAAATGACGAAGCTCCCTCAGATGATTGGGCTACGAGACACATGATAGGTAGGACAGGTGCAGATGCGTGAATTGAGAAGTTGAAGTTAATCGGAGTATAACATCTAGAGGAACACCACATAAGATCCTTTGACCCAACCTCATTCTTCATCCTTCACGACTACGATTCCTCAGGGACATGGACACAAGACGAAGTCCGCAAGACGTACGGCCTCAACGACGAATCCAATGCATCTGTCAGTGAAGACAAGAAACAAGAGGCTGTGCGCGCAGTGTTTGAGCTTTTCGACAGTGGAAACACTGGGTTTATTAACCGGGAGAACTGGCTGGCAGGTATTGCTGCAGGCAAACGGCTGCCCGATCTCGGTTACGGCCCCGGACACCATGGTGACATGGAGTATGAGTATGAGATCCATCACTTTGAGAAATACCACGGCGATGACACCACGGAGGAGGACCTGACCCACCCCGAGGACATTGAGCATTTCCGCAAGCATGACGAGGAGGAGGATGCTGCTATTGCCCTCGAGAAGCTGGAGCAGATTCAAGTTGTTGTTAGCAATGTTCCTCAAAAGTTCCGCCGTAATATTTAAAATGTTGAGCTCACAGTTTCCATTCTTTTTTTCTACGTACATACGCACTTCTGCATCTCGGCTTCCATCAATTTGAGCCTCACAGTTCTTTCAACACTTCCACTTTCTAAGTTGCGATAATCTAAAACATCTCCATGTTGAATTTTTCTGAGAGAAAATTCATGAGAAGCTAAATTAGCTATTCAAGGCCTTAAATTCGGAATCAGCGGATCTAACGACAAATAGCTAGCCGTTAAATAAAGCGCACTCGTCAATACACCAAACCATGTACGAAGTAGGAACTCATGACTACAAACGCTGGGGGAAAGTGTTGAGACGCTAAAAGCTCAAAAAGGGACGGGATGATTCATGGCAAGAGATGGCTGTCAACGCCAATGCCGAACACAGAGACGATGCGGAAAAAAAGGCATTGGGAGAACAAGAAATAGCTAAAATTGTAACTCTCCCTTAAATTTTTGATTTGTCTTCCAGGGGTTTGGCTCTCAAAAATCTGTAGTGTAGCCCAGCCTATCGGTTGAATCAACAATTCTGTAGTACAAGTGTTAGTATTACACTTGGCCCGCCAAGTCTAAAGAGGGTTCCCAAACTCACGAGTATTGTTTCGTCAAAGTCCCCTCTCCACCCTTCGACAGATCGATATTGAAAACATAGAAGTTGCCATCACTGGTGACGACCATGACTTGGGGAGTGTTACTACTCATGGCAACTACACTCCGCAACGGGCCGGGGCCTGCGTTCCCACCAGGGCCAGAGTTCGATCGCGGCAATTTGATCCAAGCAAAGTCACGCGCTGGCTCCCACATCTCACTGACTCCCTTGGGAAGATATCCGCCCATTCTGGCGGCAACTGCGCCGCCAACGTTTTGAGAGGTCCGGCGAAGCATCCCCATCAAAGTGCCGTTGTGCTTTCGGATAGAAGAATCTGAGCCCGCATCACCGCACGTCTCGTCCTCCACGGGGGAATATCCAGTATTTGGTGAAGAACCACGGTCCCGACCTGGAGGAGAATGCGATGAAGAGCCGTCTGACAATGGTCCTTGGTGGGTCAACTTGAATATGTGGACGGTCTCAGTGGATGAAGAGACACACAAGAGTGTGGATGTGGTGTTGAAGGACATGCTGTAAATTCGTGACGGCATTGAGCCACGTCGGAATTGGTAAAGCTTATGGCCATCTGGAACTGAGAAAATTCGAACGATTGTTCCTTTATCTGAGGCAGTAGCAAGTAAAGTCCCGTCGCCATTCAGTGCAATGAGCGCCAGAGGAGAGCGGTGGGCTTCGATGACGTTGATAGCTTCTAGCTTAATAGCATCAAAAATTAGAACATCCCCAGTCGTAGGTGGTACATGCGTTGCTCCAGGGGGCGCATGCGCTGGTATATTTGCACCTGCAGGAGCTTTTTGTGGAAGAGGGTATGCCATGTAACAATTCTCTGAAGACGGTGCAAGGGCACATATTGCTGTTTATTTGTCAGAACTGGGCAAAATATTGCTGGAAAAAGAAGAAAAGAAAAACTGGCGCAAGGGCTCTGTACCGTTTGGGTTTGGTGAGGTGTCAATAGTGGATAAAAGCTTCATGGTCTGGATATCATAAAGGTAGATTTGATCCTCAAGGACAATAACAAGTCGCTTGCGGTTCAGTTTCACTGCAAGAACTGTTGTCGGAAATGTTAATTCACATATCGTGCATTGCCGCTATTTCAGAAATTAGTTCCACATCTACACGAAGTGTCTACAGTGACATGAGTGAGTCCAGATGATTTGAGATACCTTGGTGTTTTGAATCTGTAAGCGTCTGGGTGATAAGATAAGGGCTACAAGAGAGGTTGAGAATAGCATCTCAATCACAGCAATATTCCCCTCCTTGGCTTCATAGCTCTTGGTAAAGGGTTCAGTTGTGAAGATCTGAAATCCCTTGGATGTTGCTATAAGTGCGGTCAGTGTGGATGTCCAACGATAAACAGAAAGCAAAGATTTTAGAGAGAGACTCACCCACAGCCAGGTAGCTGTAGTCCTGGTTAAAGGTCACGAAATTCATGGCCATTTTTTTTTTGGAAAGGTTCAGGATTGTAATTGAAATTAATGAGATTGATACAAGGCAACTCTCGGGGGTCGGAGATACCCCGCTTAGGGCGAGATTGAGAGGGAGCCACCAGCAACGCTTTGCCCGTCACTGGCTGCTGTGCAACATATCTTGGACTTGAGTATAACAAAGCAAGATGCCTTTAAGACAAGGATGCGGAGAAGAGAGGATATGATATCCGCAAAGTCTCCGGTCGTCGCAAGCGAGAGGTTTGCGCTTGGGCCACACCTTGATTTCCCACCGCCTACAGATTTCTCTTGTCAGCAATTGTTTTCTTTTGCTTCACTCGCTGGCTGGTTTTGGCGATTTTAACTTATAGGGTCCGATCAATCAGGATGAAATTCCGATGTTTCCTATGAAGTTTTGAGCATTGGTTAAGCTATGAAATTTGGTTCCTCCTTGCTTACTTCCGTGAGACGACCGAGAGTATCCCGAGGTCCTCACCCCCAACATAAAGTGACGTGGGGATCAGATCTTCTACTGTGATCGCAAGCCCCACCCTTTTTGCTGTTTTGTCAACTCCAAACAAAATTTCCGGGCATGAATTCAGCATACAAGGTAGATCTATGTGCTATATTGGGGGCAAATCCTATCAGATGGACTCATTCCCAAGTTTAATATACATCCTGGACATGAAGAGTGAGTTGGGACAGGAGATGTCGATAATTGTTGAAACCAAAGTTGGGATAAGCCTCGTGATCGTACTAGGATTCTTCGGCTGATGGATCTCTATCACAACAAATCAATGACCTGTTACGGGCAGATTGATCGATCCCGACCAATACGAACTTGCCTAACAGATGAACCTCCTTAGCAGATCAAAGGGTCACCTTTATTCGATGTATGCTCTTGGCTCGACGGATCGTTTCATGTCTACCATACTCCATGTGTCATAGCAGACTGTCCAATAAATAATTAAGATGCCTGATAACGATAGTTTCGGTTAACATATCGAAGGCACTAGCACTAATTTGACTGAATGATATAGCCATTGCCCGTCATCACTCATCACAGAGTCAGTCCCTGACTCACCAGTCACACCGCTCACATAGGTGTCACTAAAGCCCAATCTTTCAACATCCCGTAACCTAGTGGCTGGGGAAAATGTAAGAACCGGCAAGATTCCCGGGGCATGGATTCAATCTGCCGCGCGTCACCAAGGAAGTACTCCGTACAGTTCTCGAAAATTTCAATCTGGACCCGTGTACCGAAACTGCAGACGGAGTCCCTCGCAAGCGCGAGGAAAACAAGGTACGGCAGCTACCCGCCTCACACAACAGAGCCCCTTATGCAGAGACTACTGAAACAACCCTTATTAGGTTGTTGTTCATGCCGCGCAATTAAAGAAATTAAGCTTTCAGTCACCGACTTTCGCTGAACAGGTCCAGGCTATGTCCCAGTCAGATAGGCAGCAGACGAGACGGTCAACTTGCCTATACTTATTCAAGCTATCCAATGTCCAAAGAATGTGGCCCAGACCACAGCAAACATGCATAGCTTCTGCACAGACGGAGACTCGGTCACCATGTGGCTCCACTATCATGTGAAACAGGAATAGTCGGCCGCTTAGGCGGACTTTGTCTTTGACAAATAAGACTTTGCTAATACCCGGAGCAGGTCGATCTGGCCCGAACCCATTTTTGGGATGTCATCTGTAAGAACACACCGATGTTCTGTTTCAGATGTCATTTAAACGCATGCGAGGGCGGCAAAAAGCATGAACTTTGTGGAGGAATGTTCTATGTATGGTTAGGGATAAACCCGCCATTTGGGTAGCAAACAGCCAGGTAGGCTAGATATTCTGACTGGGCCTGTGACAGGCAACGTGGGCGAAGTCCAAGACAAGGAACAGCCTATTTTGTCTCCGCCCGATGATGTGCATTTCCTGCACATTCCGACTGGCGCATGGAGTTTTTGCTATATACCCAAAAGCCGGTGCCGACTCGCTCGAGTCTACCTAGGCACACCAGCAGTGATAGTATTCATGCCATCCCGCTGGTTAAGCAGGACATGTTCCATGTTCCGTCCCTAGTGACAATTAAAAGCTGTGAACACGGTCTTCACCAACCTGACCAAAGGGGTCAGATCCAGTCCTGATTTCTATGATAGCGGGGATCTGCAGACCTGGTGAGAACCGACGCAGAATCTGCGCGAAGTTGCCCGATCGCTCAAGACTGCGCTCTTGCCTGATGCAGCCCACTTCTGTCTATGATCGCTTCGGAATTACAGGAGATGAGTGACCAATGAGGGTAGGCATGGAAGGGCTTTCTCCTGTGTGATTGAGATGTTTAGCGATGCGCGAGGGAAAAGATAGGACGACTAAATTCCTGGTGTGACGCCTTAAACCTTCATGACCTGGATATACCTGCCTCCATATAGATACATCGGTTTGTTTCTAGGCACTGGCGTAACGGCGTTGGGTACCTGGTCCAACTCTTGGGCACCTGCATTGAGACATGTTTATCACAAGATCCACTGCACTGTTTCCGAAGGTCGAAAATGGCTGTTGACGGGATTAGGCATGTGTCTACGATTGGGCATCTTATATCCCATGGGTTTGATGTCCCCTCCACCGCAAGTGGATCACAATGGCGATCCGGGGTTAGTCTCAACCCTGTACAGGATACCTTGTATCTTTGTAGTTTTATACGATATCTCCAAGCAGGATTTGGTGGACTGAGGGGTCTTTTCTCTTGCTCAAACACACAAGTTTCGGAGCGTTTTGAAACTTGAAACCCATCAGAATGTCCAGAATATCCAGGACTCTTTGCTGTCCAGAGTTTCAGTAGCATCAAGCTCAAACAGATCCGATACAACTGGATGAGAGATCCAATTATCCGTGGATTTCCTTTTGGATTGTCAAATTGACTTTTTGCTGTTACCATGGACACGAAATGGCTCGACCTCCGGCTGGCAGGGCTTTCTCATCCGATGTGGATCCGACAAACACTTCGGAGGTGATAAGTTCTATGTTCCCCAATGGGCCTCGTCAACCAAGGAGATTTTGACAGTAGTAAAACCCCCTCCCCAGACGCACAGACCTACAACCCCGAACATGGTATCAGGAAATCTCATCGTCATCGGTGCCCATTAAATGATTGGCCACATAGATACGTTGCCCGAGGTCGAGTTTTTTCTTTTTCCTTTTTTTTTTTTTGACGCCTAGGCTATTTTAAGGGCAATTAAATCTGACAGAAAAGTGGTCAGAATCCCGGTCGTTGAATGGGGGAAATGACATTCCCTAATCTGAATCCGAATGTAAACATCATACATCAAATCAGACAAGGGTTAGGCGGATCATATTTGGACCCGCGGTGGAGCGTGTGGATACAGATGGAATTAGGGGGACTATCGTGGGGACCATGACGATGATAGTAAGTGATGATGATGAGATATATCCAGTTAAATGCATACATGTAATGTTACAAATGTTACAAAATGGATATGAACAATAGAATTCACGTAGGGACAAATTGTACAATGTACATGTACTCTCACTGTCAGATCTTGTCCCACGTTATCTTTCCCCTCTGCTCTCCACTTCATTTCTCTCTCTTTGTTCTTCTACTTGCTTTTCTTGCATCCAACTTAAGTCTCCCCTTGTCGCCTAACTTGGCATTGTCTTTCCATTCTTCACCCCTTGCCTTATCTCCGGTATGGCTTTCCCTTCCCCCCCCTTCTTTTGACCTTGAGATTCTTCTTATTTCCTTTCGATACTTTGCACCTCGTTGCCACTTTGGCTCAAACTTGCAAAGGGCTTAAAGACCTTCTGCTAACAACTGCCGCATAGTTGTGCTTGTGGTCACTCGTGAGTCAGATTGCCATTGCTTTGGGCACTCTTCACTACCTCTCGACTGCAAAGGATGTAACCGTATTTTCATTCTATTCTCAAAAGTGCCGCGATTGCAAGTGACCTTGCCATCTTCATCGCAATATTACACCCACTTCCCCAACCACTTGTCTTGTCATCATGGCCACGGTGCTAGTTCAACAGCAGGCGCTGCACCACTCGACCCCTCCTTCTTCTCCAATTCCCCCAGCCTTGACTGTAAACCGACGGTCAAGTCCTATACCGAACAGACATATTCCAGTATGCCCCACAGGCCCTATTCCGACGTCTCAGCCTACCTCCAAATCCCGGCCCAGCGACCAGCCGTCCTCGCTTCTATCTCCTCCAGATGAGAGAATGCGCATTGGACAACCATCATCCCCTGCGGTATATGCCATCGACGGAGTCAAATTGGCGGCTGCGATCGCTCATCAAGCATCACAACCTTTACCCGACGCATCTTTGATGTTTCCTTGGCTTCATGGCCTGCATCGAGACAACCATCTGCAGCTACGATTCTTTTCAAGTCGCAAGCGACATGCTCGACATACTCCAAAATGCTGGCGAGGCCTAATGGTAGTTAAGCTTGGAGGTGACTTAAGCCAGTCACGCATCAAGGGCGCAGTGAGCGCCCATGAAGTGCTGGCACCTTCATCCCACTTCTTGATGGCGGATCCTCCCGAGGGATTCTCCGTCCGCAATTTCCAAATACAAACTGCCAAGTTGGCTGCAATGTCGGATATTGTTATTTATGCCGAAGATGATGACAGCCATAGCGGACTTGTTGAACTAGCCAACCAGTTTGCCAAGGCGCAGCGGTTATGGCGAACGAAAATGGATCCGCTGGAGGAGCGACCGACGTACAACACCTTCATTCTTGCCGGTTCGTTACTTCTCCTTGACTCCCTGTTCTTATGGACCATATGTTGACGTAATTCCCCAGACAAATTTTCCAAAGTTGCGGACAAACACCCAGAGATCATTGCTATCGATGCGGACGGCCAACCGACAGGCCACACTATGGATTTCGGTAACTTCAAATGAATCTTGGCGCGCCCGGAGTTTGTGCTAACAAATTGGTAGTCCAATGGGAGCAACTGGAGATGTCTACAATGTCCCGGGCATCCGAGATTTCGTCCAACGTTTGGCTCGGGTCTACCCCGGACTACTTCCAAAATGATGCCCTTGAGTCGCCAAAGGAAGATGGCTACGATCTGTTGATCGAAGCATGCGACATGGCCAATATCCCTGGTCCAAGGTTCCTCGCCATGCTCGACAAACAGATAGAGAGTGGTTCCCAGCGCATGGAGTTCCCTTCATCGGGATCTCTTGTGCTCCCATCGGGGAACACCCGAGAGGTTGAGGACATTGTTAACACCATAAGGTGGATCTACTATCTCGCACACCCAGAGACTTCATCGGAAGAGCTCGAAACCGATGGAGACGTTGTAATGACCAACTCAAATGGCAAACCCCGTAAGATTCTCATCCACTGTGCGGACGGTTATACCGAGAGTTCGTTGTTGGCTGTCGCGTACTTTATGTTTGCAGAAGGTGTGCCTGCCCATGAAGCCTGGCTTCGACTGCATTGCGAAAAGAAACGCAACTTCTTTGCCTATACGACAGACGTTGCTTTCCTACGCCACATTCAAGGACGTCTCTTACAGGAAAGCCCCGTAAATCAGTCGACGGATCTCTCGGAAATCGGGGATCCCCATTGGTTCCACAACATGGATGGCTCCTTCCCTAGCCGTGTCTTGCCATATCTGTATCTGGGCAATCTGAATCATGCGAACAACCCGGAACTTCTGTGGCAGCTTGGGATCAAGCGTGTGCTCAGTATTGGCGAGGCTATCAATTGGACAGATACGGATCGTGCCAACTGGGGACTTGATAATTTGATGTACATTGACAATGTCCAAGACAATGGCATTGATCCTTTGTTTCAGGAGTATGATCGCTGTTTGGACTTCATTGGTAAGTCCTCTACCCTTTGGAGCTTATTGTGGCTTCAATCTGCTAACATATGTACAGAAAAAGGAAAGCGCCAAGGCACAGCCACATTGGTTCATTGTCGAGTCGGTGTTTCTAGATCCGCAACTATTTGTATCGCTGAAGTCATGGGGTCCAAAAATCTCTCCTTCCCGCGTGCATAGTAAGATAATCTCAGTGAAGTCATTTAGTTGAGTCAACAATGCTAATTCATGATAGCTGCTTTGTCCGTGCAAGGCGACTCAACGTCATCATCCAACCTCATCTTCGATTTGTGTAAGTCTGTGTTCTTGTACTCTCATGCCCAACAAGGAAATTTTACTTACACTTATCTGCAGCTATGAGCTTCTTCAATGGGAAGAGCATCAAATGAAAACGAGAGGCCTGCCTGTCAAGCGAGAGCTTGAATGGGACACTGTTGCGCGTGAGATCGCTCTGCTCAACAAGCCCTATTCGAGACACTAAGAATAGCCTTCGGCTCCGAGGCTCGCTCCCAATCCGCACTATCATTATCAGAAGGGTTGCTTACTAGATAATACGGAATGGCCCTTCTTGTTACAAGCACAATCGCCAAAATAATGCACATCACTTCTCTACCGACTGCTTGAGGGTCAACACTCAGCCTCACGATGGCCCTAACACCAACCCCATTTTACTCTTAATGCGTGATTTTTTCACCTCAGCCATGCGAGATACTACCCACTACGAGACAATGACTTTGCAAGATTTCTACGAACTAGGGACGACCTCTTGATTGATCTTTGGCGCTCGGCGTTTTGAACACCTCAGGGCATGAGAGATGTTGTACCCACCATCCACGATGCAATGAATTCTGCTATGTCTGTTTGACCCGATATTTTGATTGTTCTCAGCCAACCCATCTTGTTGATCTTACTTCTCGATTTCACCCTTTTCTGTGTTTCTGCTTTCAATTTTCAGCTTTTGCAATTTTTTTTTTCTGTCCTGTCCAGGAAGCAGGGATTTGCACTGCTGTTTCGGCCCACATCATTTACCAGCACTTCGCATGATACACTTCATCCTATCCAGGGGTTATGTCTTCATGCCGCGCTGCAAGTTTGAACTGGAGCTTTCGAGAAGATAATTGTGCATTTCTCAACATGCATATCCATTTTACCTCATTTTGCAGTCTCGATTTTCTTATCTTTCTCCCTCACCTTTTCCTCTTCTCTCAATCCCTTCCCTGTGACTTTGAATTATTTGTTATCTAGGGTTGGCGCGGACATGGCGTGGTTACAAGCTCGGCGATCACAGGCGTCTCTGCTTGTAATTCTAATGTTATTCTGCTGATCTGCACGTTGCACATCTTCGATTCGACCAAAGATCCGTAGTAAGATTTACATGAAAATCGAGCCAAACGCAGAAACGGGATTCCAACATGATCCCGAATCACTGATGTATGCCTTTAAATCCCCGCCGAGAAGCAGCCAGATACATTCGTTATTCATAAATCAATCGGTATTATACAACTGTATGATCTTAGGACACCCTCCACTCAACAGCGCTCAAACACCCGATACAGCCCCTTCAAATCTGCAACCTCAACCACACCCCGCAGCAACCGTGACGTGGCAACCAGCCGTGCTCGCAGAGCCGGGAAAACGGCATGTTCCAACATGCGAACCATCTGCGCACGGCGGGCCCTAACAAAAGTATCTTCGTCCTTCACACCAGAGTCACCGGCTACCACCGGTCCTTGCGTAGCCGACTCCCCCGACACGTCCTGGGCAACCTGCGGAAGAACCGGAAGCTGCTCAGGCGTGTAAAATGTAGCCAGCTCGCGCAAAAAAGTGCGGAAACAACCCTCCTCACTACCCCAGTCCACGTATGGTCCAAGCCTAAGCAGAAAACGAGGCAGTTTCGCCAGAGCTGGTAGATACCCCTTCAACAACAGCGGGATTGCGAGCAAGTCTCCGTGAGGACTGATCTGCAACGAAAAGTACTCATTCAGCATCTCGCGACGATCGACGAGCGTGCGTGCTATCATCTCCGGTGCGTTGGCGAAGATGGACTCGGCTTCTTCCTCGTTCGAATCGTAGTGTTCTTGCCGTTCTGCTTCTGCGGCGATTTTCAGAAGATCTACTAACTTCGGCGCTGGGTCGAGTCGGATGACCCCGAAGTTTCCGAAGTCGGTTAGGCCCACTTGGTAGAAGAATTCGTGGCATGCGAGTCCGTAGTCGATTAAATAGAGCTTCACGCCTGATTGGATCGCTGCGAGTCGGCGTCGCTCATCGACTAGTCCGACGTATGTGTGTGAAGCAAACATCTCTGTTAGTGTGTTGTGCATCTCGGAGCGGACGGAGGCTCGAAGATTCTTGACGGATGAGAGGGCGATTTTGAGGAGTTGGCGATCTGTTGTTTCGTACTGGAGGCCGTCGTCTAGGATTGATATCGCTGGGGCGTCGGTTTCTGCGGGTGCCTCTGGGTTGGATGGGTCGCGAGGTGAGGCTGTGGCTGGGCCTAGCATTGCTGTGATTTTGCGGACTTTGGAATCTGTTCGGATGAGGTTGTTTTCGTAGGGTCTCTCTGTCGTTGCCGGTGTTTTGGGTGTCGCTCCGACTTTTGTTACCTCACTTGTTCCCACGTGGGCTGGTGTTCCTTGATTGTGTTGTAGGGATTCGATGGTCTGCACGCCAGGTAGGAGGCTTTGTGTTAGGAATGTGCGACTCGAGTCCACCTCAGCCAGCTTGGATCGGATTTCGGTGCAGACAATCTCGATGATCTCATCTTCATTTAGAAAATTCACCTCACGCTTAGTCGGGTGTACATTGACGTCGACGCGGTTAGGCTCGATCTCGAGATCAAGATAGACGAAAGGGTGGCCGCCCTTGGGCAAAAAGGCAGAGTATATCTGTTCAACTGCACGCTTAACAGCAGTTGACTCCACTGCGCGGTGATTGATAAAAAGTAGAATCACTGTCTTCTTGACATGATAGTTGGCGTTGGTAGCCAAGCCGCATGCGCGAAATCCGAACTTTTTGTCCTCCATTTTGAATTCAACAACCTCGTTCGCCACGGCACTGCCGTGGATCTGGCGGATCCGGTCGACAGTATTTGCGCTAGCTTGAGTCGAGATGCTCACACCGGAGTCTCCGTGCTTGCGGCACGAGAAAGCGACTCCTGAGCAATGCACTGCATACCGGCCGACGACATCGAGAATTTTGGCATATTCCTCGCTTGCAGAGCGGAAAGCTCTCCGTCGAGTGGGAACGTTATAAAAGAGGTCCTCGACCTTGGGCTTTGTTAGCTTGAAAGCATGCAATTTATTCTTCTGATTAACTTGCGGTGATTTGAGTTCCTCCTCGGCCAGCCGTTGCTTTGGGTGCCGAATTCTGGCCTGGCTTTGCCGGTATCAACTTGCCATCTCCGTAATGTGCTCGCCAAGCGCAGCTAGATCCAGCGGTTTTCGTTGTAACAGTTAGATGTGCGATGTGACTGATACTAGCTAGAGCTTCACCGCGGAACCCGTATGTTCCAATGGAGGTCAGATCTTCGAACTCCTTGAGCTTAGATGTTGTAAATCTCTCGCAAAGAATGGGGAGGTCATCTCGCTAGATAGGGTCAGAGACAGCTGGTGTAGCATTAAATATTACCTACATCAATTCCATGGCCATTATCAGTGATCTGGAGGAGCTTCAGGCCCCCTTCCTTAACAAGGACTTCAATGGAGGTGGAGCCAGCGTCGACAGCGTTTTCGATGAGCTCCTTTAGCGCGTGCATTGGAGCAACAATAATCTCCCCAGCAGCAATTTTGTTTACGACATCAGGATCCAAAGCCTGTATGGAACATTAGTACTTGTTCTATATGATAGTAATGATAGTATATGATGGGATTCATGTGCACGTGTTACCTTGATTTTCTTTGGTTTAGGGGGCTCCGGAGGCTCATTTTCCTCTGCTGCACGTTTGGTGCCTCGTTGATCGCTAGCTTCAACATTCTTATCGTCTTTTTCCATCATGGATTTCAGATATCAGGAGAAAATTCCGCGAGAAAATGAATTGCGAAGTGCGCGTAGTTGAAGAAAAGGCAAAGATTCGATAAGGCGATAAGAGAGCACAGGCGTCATTGTTTTGTGGAGATCATTTGCTCCGCTGTATTCTTCCTCTCGCGATAAATATGCAACAGTTCAGTTGCATTTGTCCTCTACATATATTCGTTGCCTAGATGTCATAAAGGTAACCCCGGAGCTCACGGAGCTTGCTCTTGTTCATCCCAGGCGCACTTCATGAGCCGTGAAAAGATGCCCCTTCGGGCTGATGAAGAGATGGGCAAGAAAGATGACGACCATCGACCATCTGATCAAGCGCGTTTCCTACCTCGGCAACATCGAGCAATGCCTCGACCTCGCCGAATATTCTTCGCTATATTTGTGCTTGTTCTCGTCTACGAGTTCTTCAAGCACATGCCAACGGACCTGCCACCCGCCGCGGATCGGTTTGACCCTACGATTGCGAGGCTACGAGAAGAAACCATTACCAGATTGGGTGGCTCAGTTAAGCCACATTCATTTCCCAAGCCAGACGCTATGCTGTCGGACAATTTACCACCAGCCAAGGTGCTAGAGTCGAATCGAAAGGTTGAAACCTACGATGGGATGATCAAGTTCTACGAGTTGGCCCAATCTCTTCCTCCTTATAAGTATTCGCAGATGGCCTCCAGCCGTGCAGTTTTGTTTGCAGCGTCAAGTCTCCACAGTGTGTCTGATCTCTTGCCTCTCGCATGTCGGATGGCTAGTCAGCAGCTGAACTATGTGCATTTCACCCTGATGGGAAAGGAGGAAATTTCAATTGAAGGAGTGAAGGAAGTTAATGGAATCAGAGAAAACGAATGCCCGATGACATGGCACGGTATGAGCTTCAGATCGTGATAGCCGAACGCATTTTGCTGACTTGGCGATAACTAACAGATGCTCGGCCGGACTATGCACCCATATCTACCGATGACCGTATGAAGCGGTCCGTGATAGGAGGATTGCAAAACATCCAAACCTATATCAGCCCCGAAGTTACCATCACACAAGGTCAGAGGTGGGAGGATATCTTTTTCTGGGACGGGATCGAGGCCTACTCTCGAGAAAATGGTATCCCTCACGTTGCTCTCTCTGCTGCTTCCAGAGATCTTATGTGGATAGCGTCACTGGATAGCAAATCTCTTCGATGTAAGATATTTCCCTGTCTTTGGTGTATCGTGACCGGAGATGCTGACCATGCGTGCAATAGCGTGGAATAAGATCCAAATCGAAATGGTGGTGCATGCCCCCTCGGAGTCCTCTGGGTCTTTGATCAGGCTTATAAAGTCATTGGATGCAGCCGACTTCTTAGGATCGGCTCCAAGCTTGACAATAGAGCTCCCTCAGCGGGTAGATCCTCAGTTGCTTCAATTTCTACAGCGTTTGGGCGGGTTGAACCAGCTTTCTGGCCGAATCACTATTCGGCGGCGCATTCAACCGCATGACATGAATACAGTTGAATCATCGATTCGAACTGTGGAGTCTTTCTATCCACGGGACCCTGAGGTGACACATCTGCTTCTGCTATCTCCACAGACCGAACTCGCACCCTCATTCTATCACTACCTGAAGTTTGCTGTACTGAACTACAAACAGTCTTCCCGAGCAAAGCGCGTATTTTCCAATATGATCGGCATCTCACTTGAACTTCCATCATCCAAGCCCACGACGGATAGCCAATCTTTCACCCCACCGCCCATGACCGTTGAAGGCAAAGAACAGTTTCTCCCTTCATTCCTCTGGCAGTCCCCTAACAGTAACGCAGCTTTGTACTTCGGTGATGCGTGGGCGGAGTTCCATTCCTTCATGGCTCAACGGCTGTCGACTCTGCAATCGGAGAACTCTCAAACTAAGATATTATCGGAGAGGTTCCCGGCTTTTATGGAACACATGCTCGAGATGATCCGCGCCAAAGGATACTATCTCCTATACCCGTCCTTCCCAGGTATTAAATTCTCTTCAATTGCCACAGTGCACACCGAGCTATATCAGCCCCCAGAAGAATTCGGAAACAGTAACCCCTCAACCTCGGTTGAAGAAGCTACTCAAGTCTCTCGTGATCCTACTCAACCGCTTGCCGGTGGGATTTCCACCGGCTTGGGGTCTGTTGGAAGACCGCTGAACCGCGCATCAACTATCATGCCACTTCTTGACTTGTTCTCTTCGGGTCTTCCCGATCTTGATGATTTGCCTTTGCTTTCATACGATGGAGAGGGATTAACGGCTGAGGCATACACCAAACAGACGGAACAATACGCCAGACAGTTTCGAACTCATTTTGGAGGATGTGCCAGGGATGGCGAGATTGTTGAGACCTCAACAGACCCATTATTTTGCATTCAAGTATGAATTTCTGGCCAAAAAACCAGGATCCGAATTGTCATTTCTACGGCAAATTTTCCAAACTCTAGACACATAAGAGCAGTTGGCCGCTCTCGCAGCCTCTGTCCTTGACGATGTAAGACTTCAACATTTCATTCTACCTGGCCCCTGATTATCTTAAGGACGGTGGTATATGGAAGAACATACCGGCTTGTTTTGTTGGGAATACTTTGAAGTCAGAGCTATGAGGATTCGAGTCATAGACCTGAAGTCGTAGCATTGCAAACCCAAAACAATGACGAGGGCCTTCCGCAGGGCTTGGCACCTTATGTAATCCAATTTCGGAGCTGCACCAGACCGAGCTCTGCTTCTCCATCACCAGCTTACAATCCACTTCCATTACACTTTGCTTGCAGAATTTCATCTGTTTCTGCTTTGTAACACTATCTTCTGCTCATCTGCTTGATACAGATATCTCCTACGCCGCTTCGATTTCCCCCCGACTTGGTCCCCAGCTACCATCAGAAATGGCCAACGAGGGCGAACGGCCAACCTCCGCCGACAAGGGCAAGGGCAAGGTTGATGATGTTCGCGAGTTGAACGGAAAGAACACCGAAAATGGCGAGAAGCCAGCAGACGAAAAGAAGAAAGATGAGGCATCTCCAGATGGTACGCTGCGATAAGGCATTTCCCGGGCTCTCGCAACGGAGCATGTGGTTTCTCTCAAGAGTCTGAGATAGCACTCACAGCAACATGCTAACGAAAAAATTCATAGATGAACTCAGTGAAGAAGATCAGCAATTGAAAAACGAACTTGAGATGCTCGTTGAGCGGTTAAAGGTACCGTCACTCTCCTGTTCCATGCGCATAGCACAATGACGTTGATTATCTTCTTTCTTTTCAATAGGAACCCGATACCTCTCTCTACGGGCCTGCTTTGGACGCAATCAAGAACTTTATCAAGACGTCTACATCCTCCATGACAGCTGTTCCTAAGCCTCTCAAGTTCCTCCGACCGCATTATGATGACCTAGCAGGGCTATACGAGAAATGGGCCGCAGGCCCTGTTCAGGTTGGTTCCACAGTGTTTCCGTCGTTTTGTGCCGATCTAATGATACTATGTTTCTAGAACTCGTTGGCTGATATGCTGTCTGTGCTTGGAATGACTTACGGAGATGAAGAAAAGCTGGAGACCATCAAATACCGCCTGCTGGCCAAATCGGAGGACCTTGGCTCTTGGGGTCACGAGTATGTCCGACATCTCGCATTGGAAATCGGACAGGAATATCAGAACCGTTTGAACGCAGACCAGGACACTCAGGATCTAGTGGATCTTGCATTGTCGCTCGTGCCTTATTTCCTGAGTCATAACGCTGAAGCCGATGCGGTTGATCTCATGAGCGAACTGGAAATTATCGAGGATATCCCCCAATTCGTTGATGAGAACACATACGCTCGGGTCTGCTTGTATATGGTCAGCATGGTCAATCTGCTCACTTACCCTGAAGACCAGCAATTCCTTCGAACCGCCCACGGAATCTACGTCCGCTACAACAAGCTTTCGCAAGCGATCGTGCTCGCTATCCGGCTGAACGACACCGATCTTATCAAGAGTGACATTCACGCTACGACTGACAAGGCTTTGAAGAAACAGATGGCCTTCCTTGTCGCCCGTCAGCAGATCTGGCTCGACCTCCCGGCCGAGGATGAAGAGGGAGAGGCCTTGGCTGATTGCCTCAACAATACTTCCATTCCGAAGCACTTCAAATCTCTGGCTAAGGAACTCAACATTCTGGACCCCAAGATGCCAGAGGACATCTACAAGACACATCTCGAGAGCAGTCGCGGAGCCGGCCTCACCAATCTTGATTCGGCACGACACAACTTGGCCAGTGCCTTTGTCAACTCGTTTGCTAACGCTGGCTTTGGTGAAGATAAGATGATGCTAGTGGAGGGTGACAAGGGCCCATGGGTGTGGAAGACCAAGGATGATGGCATGCTTTCTACAACTGCCTCGCTGGGTATGCTGCTACATCGTGATGTCGATGATGGGTTGGATAAGATTGACAAGTTCACCTACGCGCAAGAAGACCAGGTCAAGGCTGGTGCACTGCTCGCCATTGGTATCCTGAACTCTGGCGTCCGACTTGACTCCGACCCCGCCCTTGCCCTCTTGAGTGACGCTGAAAACATCGAGGCAAAGAACGTGCCGATGAGAGTTGCGTCCATCATGGGTCTTGGTCTGGCATACGCCGGTTCCAACAAGGAAGAACTGCTTGAGGTTCTCCTACCGATTGTGGAGGACGCCTCACTCGACATGCAGCTGTCTGCCATGGCAGCAGTCTCACTGGGTCTCATCTTTGTTGGTTCATCAAATCACCAGGTTAGCGAGGCAATCGCGACGACCTTGATGGATGAAGAGCGTCAGAAGCAGCTTAAGGACAAGTGGACGAGGTTTATGGCCCTTGGTCTGGCGCTTCTGTACTTTGGCCGCCAAGAGGAGGTTGATGTCATCCTTGACATCCTCAAGGCAGTTGACCACCCAATGGCAAAGCCCACTTCAGTCCTTGCCTCAGTATGCGCTTGGGCAGGCACTGGTACAGTGCTCAAGCTACAAGAGCTTCTGCATATCTGTAATGACATAATTGAAGAGAAGGAGGAAAACAAGGGCGATGAGCTTGTTCAGTCGTACGCTGTCCTCGGCCTGTCTCTTATTTCTATGGGCGAGGATGTCGGACAGGATATGATTCTCCGCCAGTTTGGTCACCTCATGCACTACGGATCTAGTAACATTCGCCGAGCAGTTCCCCTAGCTATGGGCTTGATCAGCCCTAGCAACCCACAAATGAAGGTTTACGATACACTGTCCCGTTACAGTCACGACAATGACAACGATGTTGCTATTAATGCCATCTTCGCCATGGGTCTCTGTGGCGCTGGTACCAACAATGCCCGCATCGCACAGCTTCTTCGGCAATTGGCTAGCTACTACCATCGCGACCAGAACTCACTATTCATGGTTCGAATCGCCCAGGGTCTCCTCCACATGGGCAAGGGCACCATGACGCTTAACCCCTTCCACACCGACCGACAGGTCCTTTCCCGTGTCTCAGCAGCGGGTTTGCTTACTGTGCTTGTATCACTCATTGATGCCAAGCAATTCATCCTCGCTGAACACCACTACTTGCTTTACTTCCTCATTACCGCCATGTTCCCCCGTTTCCTTATTACCCTCGATGAGGACCTCCAGCCACTCACTGTCAACGTCCGTGTCGGCCAGGCTGTTGACGTGGTCGGCCAGGCAGGCCGCCCTAAGACCATCACTGGATGGCAGACTCAGAGCACACCGGTCCTTCTGGCCCACGGTGAGAGAGCCGAGCTTGAGGATGAGCAGTACATCCCTCTGAGCAGCACTCTCGAAGGCTTGGTTATCTTGCGCAAAGTAAGCATCCTAATCTCAGATTCAAATTTCCCGCTTTAACCCATCTTCCAGAACCCGGACTACGAAAACCCCGAATAAGCAAGCTAGGCTAGATATTCCCCGATTTACATCCATTGCTCGCAACCAGCGGGACTCGTATAGTGGTCGGGTTATCGTTGGATCTAATGTATTCAGAACGAATGAAGAATAGCATGGATTTATTTAACGATTTTTTTTTTACATGTTCGCCTTCTGCTACACTTGCTTTTCTATGAGCATACTACTCATTTTGAACTTTGGTGGAGATCTGAAGCATGTTGTACGAGTGGACACTCCTCTTGAATTTGTCGCTTGAAAAATATCCGGCCAGAACGTTGTAACTATTGCTTGATGCTGTCCAAAGGTGAAGCTATCAAGGTTCTCATCCAGGATAGGAAACAGGGCTTAGGGCTAGGTTCTTATCAACTTTTTTCCTCCGCCGCATCGTTGACTGGTCCAACTCGCCTCGAAGTTCTGGTTTCCAACGAATTAATTTAGGGAATTGGAAGAAAGTGAACAGCTCCCTCGCTTCCTCGCAACCATGAAACTCGATGCTAAGGCTATTCGTTACCTCACCAACGAGGATTTCCGAGTTCTTGCAGCGGTACTTATCGGCCCCTCCTCTTGGGTTTACCCCGCGACGTTCTTTCTTCGGGGGATGTTCTGCCGCGCATTCTTCATTGACTAACACGTGAACTGTCTTAGTGTGAAGCTGGCAGCCGAAACCATGAGGTTGTTCCAACACCGTTAATTTCGCAACTTTCGGGCCTCCGGGGCGGCAGCGGTGTCAACCGTGCAATCTCAAATCTCGCGAAAATCAACTTGATTGCAAAAGTCAAGAATGCCAAGTGTATGTATTCCGTTAGTCTCTGCATCTAGTTTGACCACTAACACAAGTAATATAGATGACGGCTACCGACTCGCATACGGAGGATTGGATTATCTTGCGCTGAACGCGCACCAAAAGTCAAAGGTCGTCTACTCGGTTGGTAACCAAATCGGCGTGGGAAAGGAATCAGACATCATCGTGGTTGCAGAAAGCAGCGGAGCGCAGCGAATTATGAAAATCCACCGTCTCGGCCGTATCTCGTTCCGAACAGTCAAGACAAATCGTGACTACCTACGACACCGCAGCTCAGCCTCATGGATGTACATGTCCCGATTGGCAGCAATGAAGGAGTTCGCTTTCATGAAGGCTCTTCGTGAGAATGGATTCTCCGTCCCCGAACCCATCGCCCAGAACCGACACACCATCGTTATGAGTCTGATCGACGCTTTCCCTCTGCGCCAAATCTCAAAAGTCGCCAACCCCGCCGGGCTATACTCCGAGCTTATGAACATGATCTTGGATCTTGCGCGATATGGTCTGATCCACGGTGATTTCAACGAGTTCAATATCCTTATCAAGGAAGAGCTAGACTCCGAAATGAAAGGCAAAGAGCTCACTGAGGAAGAGGAAGATGAGCATATTCGGCTAGTCCCAGTTCTCATTGATTTCCCCCAGATGTTGTCTGTCGACCATGTTAACGCTGAAATGTACTTCGACCGTGATGTGGAATGTATCAAACGATACTTCAAGCGCAAGTTCCACTTCGTGAGCGACTCAAAGGGCCCTACTTTCGCCGAGGCTAGAAAAAAGCTCCTTAAGAATCCTGGCAAACGTCTGGATGTCGAAGTCGAAGCCTCTGGTTTCTCGCGCAAGATGGCCCGTGAGCTCGAGGCTTATATGGCAGAGGTGGGAGTCAAAGGAGATGGCGAGGCTTCAAAGGACAGCGATGATGATGAAGAAGAAGAAGAAGAAGAAGATGAGGAGGAGGAAGAGTCTGAAGCCGAGGGGGCCAATGATGCCTACGAGACCAAGTTTTCCGAAGATGTCGATGACAGCACCAAGCGGTTAGAAAAACTTCAAGTTTCGGGATCGGTGGAGCAATAAGGGAAACAAAGCTGGGCTTTTTTTAATGACTATTTACGATGAATAAAACATGTAATATAGGGTTCAAAATTTTCTACCAAGGAGTGTTTTCTAGAATACCCAAAGTTTTCGTCTAGGAAATCTCCCAAAAAAAAGTACCTAAAACAATACCAAGCACACAGCCAATATCCAAATCTCAACTGATTGTCTAACACTTGCTGTTGCGTCGCTCAGTTATATTCAGGTCATGTGACCAGATCGGCCAATGCAGTTTTGGTGCGCGGTCCGCAAGCACCTCCAACCCCCAGATTCCTCCACTCAACAACACGATGGTGCGTCTCAGCAGTGTTCAAGGGAAAGCCCTTCGCCGCCTGCAAAACCAGGCTGGTATCCAGCAACCCCCCAAAACCAAATGGCCCAGCGTCGTCGGCAAGCCTGTGTACCTGTACGTTACCCAAAATTTCCTAGAACCCGAACTCCGCTTGATCAAAACAACATCTCAGCGGACTTAACCGGCTCAATTGGACAATTGCCACAAAACCAAATCATATGAGCTAATTTCTCGCCTCACTAGGCCTGAATTCCGCGTCGCTCTCGTCCGAACTCCCAACCTCACCCCCAGATATGCTCAATTCCGCGTCCCCCTCAACTTCAACAAGTTCGACCTCCGCAGCTACCTGTGGCACTTATACGGAGTCGGAACCCTCAGCATCCGCAGTTACGTTCAGGCACAACCAATCACACGAATTTCGCGCGATGGCAAGGGTTTCGGCCCGTGGCGCCGACCTAAGTCGCAGAAGCGTATGACCGTTGAATTGAAGGAGCCCTTCGTGTACCCCCAGGAACCGAAAGACCTAACCCCGTATGTGATGTCCACCCTTAATTTTCTCGTTCCTTTCAAGCTCCCACTCTTCTGTCTTCCCTGCCTGTATTCCAAATGCTACACATGCCACCTTCAATCAAACTGAACATCCTAACTGACCAATTTCCACCAATAGCTGGGAGCATGAAAGCTGGGCAAAGGCCGAGAAGTTCCAGATTGACCTACAAGAAAAGGAGAACCCCAAGCCGAACAAGGGTGAACAGCCCGATCGCGAGTTGCGCGAAGCCTACAAAGAGCAGGCTAAGGCGCTGCTCGAGAACAAGGAGACATGGAGACCGACCTGGAAGGCTTTGGGCTTGGAGCCATACCAGGCGGCTAAAAATGGCGCCTTCGCCCCCGCTTCCACGCTGCCAGCTTGGTTTGCCAAGGGGCGGAAGCACGGAGCGCGGTGATCGTTTTTGATGGGATTCCTTGCATTGTTCTGAATGGTTTTGGTTTTCTCCTTCCATTGGAGAAAATTGGTGTTTCTTGCTCTATCTTCTGGTCCATTTAAGCTTGGCTGGATCTGTATATTATACTCTGGGTACATTGTATACATCTTGAATATGGCGTATCATCTTTTCTGACCTCATTAAGGTTTACACGGATCTTCAATTAGGATAAACCACGTTTAAATCCGTTGAGTTGGTGATAGAACTGAACCGGATTTATTGAGTGATGTGGACACGAAGTAATGGCTGGCAGGAACGCATCACAAAAGACAGTCTAATCAGATACAGGTCACTACGATCTGGTGCTATTATACGCCATGCAAAAATAGAGTGGGGGGAAGGAGGGGATCAAAATGCTGAAAAACAGATGAGAGAGAGAGAGAGAGAGAGAGAGAGAGAGA